AGGATAAAATGGAGAGGAGGACTAAGCAATCTGCCTGTGTTTCTTGCTAGAAGGAAAAAAATAGAAATGTTACAATAAAATAATATATACCAAGTCCCATGGTTGGAACGTGTTTAGATTAGGCAGAAGTGATGAGCTGTGCTGGAACAGCTGCTCGAGGAAGGCTTTTTCAAGATCGCCCTCTTTTCAGTGGTCTTTTAGCCCTATATTAGGGTTAGGGGAGTGCACCAGGGTAGGGTTAGGGTTAGAAAAACGAGGTGTCCTGGAACGATTTTGACAGTTGGAATGTGTTTAGATTGGGCAGAAGTGATGAGCTGTGCCGGAAAAGCTGCTCGAGGAAGGCTTTTTCAAGATCGCCCTCTTTTCAGTGGTCTTTTAGCCCTATATTAGGGTTAGGGGAGTGCACCAGGGTAGGGTTAGGGCAGTGGTGGCAAATATATGGCATGCGTGCCACAGCGGGCACACAAAGTCCTCTCTGTCAGCATGCAAGCCAAGTCACCCAGCATCACCTCAGCAGCTAAGCGTCAGATAACAGCGCACATAGGGCCATGCGCATGCTTGGAAAGGAGTAGTGGTGCCAGGCGTGCTGCAACTCATTAGCTGCGACTCATCTGAGCTTTCGCATGGCCTGTCAGTGCGCTTCCAAGGTGCTTTTTTTTTGTCATAGAACGCACCAGAATGGAGTTCCGACACCTTTTTTTGATGGATTTTCCAAGTTTTAAAAGTAACTTTTGAAAATTTGATGTTTGGGCCACGTGGATTTGAATCGCCCTGTCAAGCGTAGCAGGTCAATGGCAAAATCATTAAAATGGTGCATGCGGGCTGCTTGTGTGTTGAATCCGATGCATGCGTGCTTCGTCCACACTGATTGTGATGGCGCTGCTCGGCTTGTAGCGCTGCGTGGCTTGTGATTGGCCGTGTGATTGCATGCTGAGTGCTTACTGTGGGCGGCAACTGTTACGTTTCGTTACACCACCGATGTGTGTGGGTGTGTGTACAGTGATTGGTAAATAATTTATTTAAAAAAAGTTGGTGAATTGAACATCTTTTTTTTTAATTTTTAGTGTAAAAGTGTGACCCCAAATTTAAAAATGAAAAGAATTACTAATTACTTCTCAACTACCGGTCCTTCTAATAAAAAGGCCGGAATATTAACAGACACAATGACAGAACACATAGATACTAACAGCAGGGAAAGGAGTCGAGAAGATTTGTCAGACGAGAATTGGACAAAACTTTGGAATTTACTATGAACATTTGCCTTAAATACAATAAATTATATTTATGTTAAGAACTGAATATATAATTTTTTAAATAAAAGATTAACAAGATGTGAGTTCCAGCACCTTTTTTCTTACAAAAAAAGCACTCTGTGTGTGTGTGTGTGTTTGCTTTGACTGGCTGTGAGTTGTTTTTTCTAAACTAAAACCTCTGTTTTCAGGTTTTATTGCAGTGTTCGCATTTTGCGTTAAATAAGTGGGTTTTGGGTTGCAGTTTGGGCACTCGGTCTCGAAAAGGTTCGCCATCACTGTCCTAGGATAATCAGAAGCCAAGTCAGCAGTGCTCATGTACCATTTTGCACCTGCACAAATGCCCTGCATCATTAAAATGGTGCCATTTGCATCTGGCCTTGTCTGTCCATATTGTCAGTGGGGAGGAAAATAACTGATGAGTTAATGTGAAACTTCCTGGAGTTACAGCTGGATGGACAGAAATAGCTCATAGGTATTTAAATGTGCCTCTCTTTAATTAAGCCTCAGTCCATTTCCATGCATGATGCTGCTGACAGATCAGTGGTTTGGCATCTTACCACTCCTGAAAGCCATTTAGTGGGAGCATATTGATCCAAACTTGTATGTTTCTGCATTTTACCATCAGCTTTGATGTGTGCTATTTTTGAGACAATTTTAGGTTCATCTGACAAAGCCAGCAGTCTGCTTAGGTGGCCTTCAGAGCGCACATATGGGAAAGCAAATAACTAGGCTTAAGTTTTCAAAGCCAGCATTTGCCTTACAATGATTACATGTTTTTATAAGAGGTGTGATAAAATATGACTACTCTTAAAAGACTAAGGGCCTATCAAATAATCAAGACTGTAATTATGGGAGCGGGTGGGAGATAATAATTACTCATTTGTTGCTGAAGCTTCAAGGTGCCTTCTGTGTCAGGGATACTGGTTTTTCCAAGCTGCAAGGCACTTCTTCTGGGAACCCATGATTTTTCAATGTGTACTGGGTGAATGGAACATAGCTACACAAGTGATCCCTTGTGATAGCTACACAAGTGAGCCTTACAGAGTGATCCTAGATGTGTTCATTCAGAAATAAGTCCCTCTGTGTACAATAGAGTTTGCTCAGAGGTGAGTTTAGGACTGCCTCTGTATGTTCCACTTGGACAACTCCTTTGTCATGATTAATGACATAGTCTTCCTCCTCCATGCCTGTGGCATTTTGCAACCTCTTTAAAGGTTCTGTTTGCTTTACAGTGTTATTCTTTAAAAAATATATCATCTTCTGAATACCTAAACAGCAGGAATCATATATCCCTTCAACAAGACAAACGTGGCAAAACCAGAAACATTGAACCACCAACCTACAGCAATATATTGTGATTTTTTTATTTATAATTTGAAAAGTATTTTCAGTTAAAGTTTTATTCTTTGCTATTCATATATATCATATATATCTCCTATATCTCCTATGAATATATATATCATATATATTCATATATATCTCCTGTGGGAGGGGGAGAGTGGTGGGGGTTGCTTTAAAGAATTAGGTTGACACCCCAACCCATTGCATGAGAACAGGATATGAGAACAGGATATGAGAAACCACTGAATCAGGCCTGATCTTCACACAATGCTAAGGAGAAGAACTAGACCTTATGCAATTGTTTGGCTACATCTTAAATAATTTTTGCAGGCATGAACCTTCTTAGGGAACAGCCTCCTTTGTTAGATCTGCACTGAGAGGGAAATGGGTGCATATTTGCTGAAGTGTATTTATTATAGGACAAATCATAGTAATAAAAGATGATTATAGGACTAAAAATGACAGGAGAACAAAAGATACTGTAATTACTAACTCATCCACCAAATATTTAGCAATGGGAGTAGTTAAATTATGGTACTCTCATAACATTATTGGGAAAGTTAGAAATCGAATGTTTAAAAATATTTCTTTGGTGCCTTTCTGCCCCATGAAGAATATTTTAGGATAATAAAATTAATAATTGACAGTAGCAGTTTCTGACATCATGATGAGCCATGGTTTTTCATAATAATCCAAACATAGCCTCCCTGCCAAGTCCTGCCCTTCCCCTTCTTGATGTGGCTGCCAGGAAGATGTCACAAGCTCTTACTTAAGATTTCAGTTAACCAGTGTTTAGTATTACAGCCACATCATAAACAATAGTAAATCTTAATTATTGTTTGCTGGAACAAGCCAGCTTCATAGGTTGGCTTGTTTCAGAGAAATCATAGTTAAGATTAGCCGCAGTTTATCAGGTTTGTGCAATACACGAAACTATGGGTATTCAAAACTAAAAATAAAATCAGCCACACTAGAAAATGGAAGGGGAGGGATAAGGCCCTGATCCAGCACAGTCAAGGTTTATTCCCATCACAGTGAACTAATGGTTAGCACAGTGTCCAAATGCATCCAATAGTTGATAAATGTATAGTTTCATATACATAAAATGCACATTGGTGAAAGTTGGCAGGCACAATTTCGGTCCCCCCATCCCTCCCCCTCAAACACAGACACTCACTGAAATAAATATCCATGCTCTGAGTCTTTCAAGGCATCTCAACTGCTGAGTCCTTCTTATGTCTTTGATTCTATGTCTCCCATTTGGTCTAGTATTATGTTTAGCATTATATTGTAGAAAGTGTCCCCAAAACATACTGCTTGGAGGACATGTGTTTCAGTGTAATTGTTACACCCTGGGCTCAGACGATCAATGTACTGTTCCTGCTGTTCCCAGGAGTACGTTTGTTATAATTCTGGTAATATAGCAAGGTGATATTTGTGGTGAGATCAAAGACACACCTGACTTATCTCTATTGGCTTTTTTCTAAGAGTTTCTGTTGGCAGGAATTTTCTTCCCTTGATTGTTCCCCTTCTGATATGATGAAATTTACAGCTGAATGTTTGCCACTTAACCTTTCTAGTGCTGGCAATATAGTGCCTGGATGAGCCTGCTACTGGTTATAGGCTTTTTGAAAGCACCAGTTTGAAAGATGCCTTAGGATTTTAGCAGGACTGGCTGCAAGGTTTGGTGAGTATCAGGCAAGAAGCCTGCAGTGTGTCCTTTCCACTGAGCCCAACTATGTTTCATTCGTCCATGTTCAAATCAAATAGAAGATTCACTAATGTTAGAAGTTACTGTGATATTTTGATAGTATTTTGATCTGTCTATTACTGGAATAGATAGATATTTTAAAGGCAGACTCCTATGCATGTTTAGACAGAAAAAAAGTCCTACAACCCCTGGCATTCCTTATCTGACCATGGGAATGTCAGGAGCTGTAGGACATTTTCTGTCTAAACATGCACAGGATTGTGCCCTAAGTTTCTATATGTCAGTGTCTGATGGGAGATTCCATACATCATCACCATCCTTTGTGGGTTTTCTGGATTTTACCCTTAGAATTACACATTGCCATATGGAAGGGGCATGTCACAAATATTATTCTTATCAAGGCGTAATTGCCATTAAGAGTATAGTATTTACTTGTAAGAAAAGTTGCATAGGTTGCATAGAATTGGTTTATACATCTCTTAAGGCCCAATCCTGTACAGGTTTTGACAGGAAAAAAGGACAGAAAAATGGCTGGCTGAGACATGCTGGGAGTTGTAGGCCTTTTTTTCTATCCAAACCTGCATAGGATTGTAACCTTAAGTGCCATGTGTTTGCATAGTGATTAATGCTTTCATGGCAGTTCTCTTTGTATATTGTTTAAGCTAATGATTTTGCAATCTTCTTTCTCTGTGCAGGATATGGAAGCTGGAGTGAGTTGGCTAAAGCCCAGGGAAATCAGGTTAGCCCTGTAGTGGATCCAAGCTTTCAGATGTATCTGCCTCAGAAGGCAGGCTATCAGGTAAGTGAACACATACTTTCTATTGAGACTCTGGTGACAAAACATACTCCACATGTACCAAAACATTAAATTCAGTTCTCAAGTATATTGATAGAGGTAAAGTTTTTAAACTTCCATCAGAATTAGCCATATATGTACATTATGTATACTTGCATTGTTACATCCTTATCAAGGAAAGAAAAGTTGGTTGGTGAATTGTTACTCAAAGATGCAGCTAAAAATATGTGCCTTTTAAATACTAAACAGCTTAGGCCCAGTATTACCTTAAATGTCCAACATATACCCCCCTTTGGATACAACTACAGTTGATGTGGTCAAGAACCTTGTTAATGATACTAAGCATGCAGTAAAAGAGCAAACAGAAGCATCTGTTGTGACTGGTCAGCCCCCTTAATCAAGTTATGTCAGGAACTCTCTTTTAACATATACTCACCAAATCGACGCCTGTGCACTTTTCAGGAGCACTGTAAGTCATATATGTTTGGACTATATTTAGGTTTGCATGGTTGTCTCTGAAAAGGTAGAGAACAGTCAACAAATTATAATATGCTGGGAGGTGGTTTTTGGTTTGGGGTTGGTTTTTTTAAGCTACCTTCCCCTAGTTTTCAGTAAGGGCTGGGGGTTACTCAGGGCACAGTCCTATGCCTTTTAAGATGGCTGGCTGGGAATTGTTCAGAGTCGTGAGATATTTCCCTTACTAAACATGCATAGAATTGTGCCCTCAGATACTGTTCCCTGTTCTTTTTTTCCCTTTCCTCTTAACTGTCTGAAAATGTGAGTAAGAAGAAAAGCTTGGGTTAGCAACCAGTGGGCGAGGCTGTTCCCTCCGGGTTACTTGGCCCAGCGACTGCCAATTTATAGATGCAATGGCTTCAAAACCTCTGTAAGAGTAAGTCAGTGGAGAAAAAAGTATGCTGAGCAACCTGATTTACTTCTACATTTTCCCAGAAGACAAATGTTTTCATCTTCTAATTATTTTCCCCCATATACTGTGTTAGTATTAGGGTTTCTGTGACTGCCAGAGCAAAATGGATATACCTTATTTACCCAGCCAATAAATACTGAGTAAAAATGATCCAGGAAATTAATATTCAGATCTTTTTTTTAATCAACTAAATGCCACACCTGCTTATTAGTGCAATTTTTATATTCTGCTGACTTTGACAGGTGGTACAAAACATGTGTGCACATGTGCAGCTTCTGCTTCTGTACTTCCAAAAACTGTGAATCATCACATATATATTTGGGTCACCTGCACAGAAAAAATCTTGTCATTTTCTCTATAGACGAAGAAACAAGCAAATGGAAACAGCCAGAGCAGCAGAAGAGATCCTACAGCATCAGACACATCTGCCCCCTGGAGTCCTGAGGTTAATGTTCCATAAAATACCTTTCAATGGTATAATTGTAGCCTGAGACCTCTCCAGGAATGTGAGAATGTAGCTATGCACTGAAGGTTCTAGAAGACAGTGCAGTAGCTTCCTGATTTTTCAGACTTTTGGGTTTGGTGATGCTTTGTTTCCTAATTTGACTGAAGATGGCCTGTACCAGCCTCATTTGGGGATAGGAGGCTACTTGTGCTTGCATTACTTGTGCTAAGTTTTCACTCTTAGTTCTTCATTTTGTGAGTTTGTGTTGATAAAGTTTAAGAAATTGTGGCTAATGAAATCTAGTTCACCTCACCTCATCCCACCATGTTGTTGAATCAAATTTCTTCCACTGAGATGCTTGGTAACCCAAGTTTTTTCTCACCAATTGCAATAGTCAACCCATTTTCCCACAGGAATCTGCTACATTTTGGGGAATGGTCTTTTTCTGAGGCAAATCAGTGGACAATAAATTGAAATCTGTTCTGTTTCCAGGTTACTTTTTGGTTTCTTCAGGTTAACTTCCTGTTGACACTTGTAGTGGCTTATAAATTAACTTGTAGTGGCTTATAATTTAACTTGTAGTGGCTTATAAATTAAGAAATCTGTATTTCTTCACAATTAATTGCGAGGAGTTATGTGATAGCTGTGTTGTTTTCTCAGCATCTATAACAGCATTTTGTTGCTTGATGATTCCTTCGGTTATTAACGAGACTGGAAAGATAATTGGGGATGGGATTATTCCAACATATAATAAAGTTAGGCTTTGTTTGAACAGAAGGTGTATGTTGCTGGCAAACCTGAGCAATAAAAAAGCAATCTCAGCACATTTTACAACTACAAAGAATCTTTAACAGAAGGTGATGCTTAGTACTTTTCCCCACTTGCTTTTTTTGTAGGAGTAGAGAATCTTGTAATCTAGTGCATGGAGGACATGATCATATCTTTGCAGATAGGGTTGGATGAAGATGAGACAGAAATAATGAGTGTTGAAGGGACCTTATCTTGATTCTTTTGTATGTATTCAGAGATAGTTTAGAACTCATTGATTTGTACATATTTGCCCCAAGAAGGTATCTGATCTTAATGCAGACAGTCTTCATGATCCATTTATTCCTTTTCTAGATTACACATCATTTTCTCATTGTAGCTTTCGCTAATTCTGAGGCAACTCTCACATGAAACTCAGTGTATGTAAAGCCTTCCACCAATGTCGTTCAGCATCATGTAAGTTTTTTAAGCTATGCCAGTGATACCTATATTTTAGAGACCCATAACTTTTATGGTATGGAAAAATGCCAGAAAGCCAAACCATGTATGCAGAAGTTTTTCAGGCCACTATGGCAGCAACTGGAGAGGCTGCAGCAACATGTAAAACGCACCTAGCAGTCCATGGCTCTATGTCTTACTTCCTTTGTGTCCCAGACATGTCTATTTGTCTTTTCATAAAAAAAAACATTAGGAAGGGCTGCAAGCTCTAATTTAAGCCATCCATCCAGGGGCACTCTCTTCCATTTAGAAAGCTAAAGTTGATCTAGAATGTGAGATGATTAGCAGTAGTGGGGACACTGCTGGTCAGATGCTGATCATATCCTGTGTTCAAATTTGGTGGCATAGACAGGGTGGAGTAACTGTGCAAAGCAAGCAGCTTAAATCTCTTACCTTTTTCTTGTGCCAGGAATAAAGTTGCACCATCAGTAAGGGTGTGGTCATCAATTGAAGGGATGTAGGACATTGCATAGGTGTGCTGATTTTGTGCAGAATTTGAAGGGAGATCTCTGGCTATACCAGACAAGTATTCTGTCTTGTCCTTTATACAATGTTTTTATTCTGAAGAGCAGTATTAGGAATTTTGACATTTGTATTTATTTATCAGCTTTATATCCTGCTTTTTTCTTGGGAACTCAAAGTGGCTCACACCATTCCCCTCCTGCTGCTCTCAGTCTTATCCCCGCAACCAGCAACCCTGTGAGGTAGGTTGGGCTGAGAGTCTGTGAGTGGCCCAGAGTCACCCAGTTTGCTCCATGGCCAAGCAGGGACTAGAACCCAAAGTTGTGTGAGTCCCAGTCCCGTGTTCTTAACCATTACACCATACTGGCTCTCTCCTATATTCATAGAAGTGTAACATCAGTGATACGTGCCATAGCCTGATTTTAAATATTGTCAGTCCAAAGCATCTTCTGCAGATGTAATGCTACCACTGAAAGGAACCCTTAATCTCCTATGCTGTGATGTTCTCAAATTGCCCCAGCGATCACTTTTTAAAAGGATACTTATTTAGCACAACGCTGTGCATATGTTTAAAGTGCAAGTATAACTATATTCCTAAATTGTGTCCTGTATTGGTGTCTGAGTCCCTCTTTTACCTTCCTCCTGCAGCAGAACCCTAACCAGTGCAGAAAGGTGCACCTTTTGCTTGTTGGAACATGTGGTGCCCAGAAAGGCAGCTGACATCTCTTCCTCCTTTCCACTGCTAGGTGTTGAGTTGCTGTATCTAAGAACAGAAGAGGTCTTTGTTGCTACCATTTCTTAATACCTTTTCTCAAGTGCATAGTTTTGCAATTCAGTTCATGGTTTAAATCATTGGAAGTTATCTAGAGAAGGAATAGCCTGGACTTTCAGTGGAGAGACAGAAGAGTCTTATAAACATTACCATAAAAATTCTTAAAGCAGCAACACAATGTCAGCATTCTTCTCTGACTCAAGCCTCTTTTTTGACTTGCTTATCTTAACCCACATTTGCACATTCTTCAGATTATAGGCAGCTGATTTGCCCCAGAGATAACAGCGAATAAATATAAAATGGAGCAAAGCTTTTCCATTCTGGTCCTCTGATTCTGATTACAGCTTGAAAGAGCCATTCTGGATAAGCTGTGATAACTTCTTTAGAATTACAGGGAGGTGGCCAGAAAATGACTGATCAAATGAACAGATGGGTGAGGCATAATGCAAACTCCCCCCTCCCCCTCCCCCTCCCCCTCCAATTTGCTGAAACTAAGAAGCTCTGAATATTGTCAGTGCCTCTGTGGGGAACAACCTGGAACCTTTTGTACACTATTGTGCAATACCTGAAAATAAGGTACAAGGCATATAGTAAATAATGCATAAATATAATAAATAAACTTGCTATTTGGGATTAGTTGCAGATGAGTCAGATGGAAGAAAGTGCCCCTGGAATGTTGATTCCTAGATTACAAAGACCAATGTTTTCCTCAACGTTTTTCTTTTTCTGGTGCATTTTCAAAGTGTGGAGTAGGGAATAAATTTCTTTCCAAGTTCCTCTTGAGTTTTATCTATGGTTTTATGTTTGAGCAACATTTTGTTTGGGCCTCTTTTTTCTTATTCCTCTCCTTTTAAGAACACTTCTAGAAAAAGGAAGTATTTATTATGTAAGAAAAGATGACTAATTTATAGGCTGAGTGAGATTTAGAAATTCTCTCTTTGCTGTGAACATCTCTTTCCTTATAAAGTTCCTTGCCCCAAAACGTCTGATAACCTAAAATTTCTTTCTGAAATAAGGACAACTCTACAACTTCTGTTTGTGCCTCCTATGGGTGTTCAAATTGAGCAACTCTTCTGATAAGGTGTGTGAAATCAGCAGTGTTTTCAATGTTCAGTGTATTGTATCAGTCTATAAACGATTGGGCTGTAAAGTAAACTTTTAAACTGGGGCTAATCTGATCCGCTCCTTTGGAACAAATAGATCCCAAGATGATTTAGGACAGTACTACACAAAGTTCTTGAGAAGTCCACATTAAATTGGAATCACTAGTTTTTAGTCAATGCTTTTGCTCACTCATACCATGCATTTTTGATTCATTCATTTATTAGGTTTCTATACTGCCCAATAGCCAAAGCGCTGTGAGCAGTTTACAAAGATTAAAACCTTTAAAACACACAATAAAAGTCCATATACATACAAGCATAAATATACAACACGCCCATCAAAAAACAGTTTTGAACAATCAACAAGAAAATAATCAAAACCTGTTTGTAACATTATATACTGCCAAATGCCTGACAGAAGAAGGTGCTGAAAAGATGATAATATTGGTTCCAGGCAGGTCTAATCAGGAGATCACTTCCTAATTGATAGGTCACAACCAAGAAGGCTCCCTCCTACACTCCTGCCTTCCAATCCTCCCATGGAGGAGATACCTGAAGGAGGGCCTTAGATAATAAAATTAGTGTATGGATAGGTTCATGTCAGAAGAGGCCCTCCATCAGATATAGAGATCCCAAGCCCTGTAAATCTTTTTGGGTCAAAACCAACTCTGCTATTGAATCAGATTCTACTGGGGAGACGCCATCGATGCCGTCGAGTCCACAATTAATGGATGAATTTCAGTTGTTGCGGCCTGATGATGTGGACAAGGTGCTTGAACAAGTACGTCCTACCACTTGCTTACTAGACCCATGCCCATCTTGGCTACTTAAGAAAGCCAAGGATGGGATTGGGACCTGGATCCTGGAGGTGGTCAACGCCTCTTTAAGAGATGGCCGGGTACCTGCCCCTTTAAAGGAGGCAGTAGTCCGGCCAGTCCTAAAGAAGACATCCTTGGATCCAGAGGTGGCCGCCAATTATAGACCGGTGGCCAACATCCCATTCCTGGGCAAGGTGCTAGAGCGGGTGGTGGCGGGACAACTCCAAACACTCTTGGAGGAAACTGATTATCTGGACCCATTTCAGTCCGGCTTCAGACCCGGGTATGGTACTGAATCTGCCTTGGTCACCTGTACGATGACCTGTGCAGGGAGAGAGACGGGGAGTGCATCCCTGTTAGTTCTCCTGGACCTTTCAGCGGCTTTCGATACCATTGACCATGGTATCCTTCTGAATAGGCTAGCGGGATTGGGAGTTGGAGGCACCATGTGGCGGTGGTTCCGCTCATATCTCAATGGCTGATTTCAGAAGGTGGTGCTGGGGGACTATGGCTCTGCGCCATGGCAGCTATGCCATGGAGTTCCGCAGGGGTCCATTTTGTCCCCTTTGCTGTTTAACATCTACATGAAACCGCTGGGAGAGGTCATCAGGAGGTGTGGGCTGCAGAATCATCAGTACGCCGATGATACCCAGCTCTACCTCCTGTTTTCCACCAATCCAGGTGAGGCAGTGGCTGTGCTGAACTGGTGCCTGGCCGAGGTAATGGGCTGGATGAGGGCCAATAAACTGAAGCTCAATCCAGACAAGACGGAGGTCCTGTTGGTGGGTGGCTCGGGCCTCGGGATGGGGGACTTGGGCCTTGTCCTAAATGGGGTTGCACTCCCTCTGAGGGACAGGGTTCGCAGCTTAGGAGTGCTTCTCGATCCTGAGCTGTCTCTAGAAGCTCAGGTGACGGCGGTGGTGAGGAGCGCCTTCCTTCAGCTTCGGCTGATACATCAGCTGCGTCCCTTCCTGGAGAATGGCTGCCTGGCGACAGTGACACATGCACTGGTAACTTCCCGATTAGACTTCTGTAACGCATTCTACGTGGGGCTACCCTTGAAGACGATCCAGATACTTCAATTGGTGCAGAATAGAGCTGCCAGGTTGCTGATGGGGACTGGGCGTTGTTCTCATATAACCCCAGTTCTCCGTCAGCTCCACTGGTTCCCGATTGAAGTCCGGGCCCAATTCAAGGTGTTGGTTATGACCTATAAAGCCCTAAACGGCTTGGGACCTGGATATCTAAAGGAACGCTTGCGCCCATATATGCCCTCCCGCCCCTTGAGATCAGCAACGGATGCCCTTCTCCGGGAACCCTCTGAATGATATTAGGAGGGTGAGTGCCTGGAGGAGGGCTTTCTCTGCGGTGGCACTCCATCTATGGAATGCGCTCCCCAGAGAGGTCCACCTGGCGCCATCATTATTTGTTTTTTGGCGCCAGGCTAAGCCCTTTTTTTAAAAAAACTTATTTTAATGGCTAAATTATTGTATTAATTAGAATTTTAACATTCTTAGCCGAGAATGCACCAGGGGTTTTTTAATGTTTTTTTTCTTCTTTTGATTGTTATATTATTATTATTTTTGTATGTTTTATGTATTCTTTGTGAGCTGCCCCGAGGCTTTGTTGTGATGGGGGCGGCATAGAAATGTTTTAAATAAATAAATAAATAAATAAATAAATACATCTTGAGTAACGCTTGGAAGCATACAAACAGGTCAGAACGGGTGTTATATGTCTGGAGGTTTTGACTCCAGACATATTTTCAATCTGTTAATCAATCAATCTGTCCAATCTGCATTTTGCACAAGCTGCCTCTTCTGAACCAACTTCACAGGCAGATCCACAAAGTGCATTGCAATGATTTAGCCTGGAGGTTACTGGAGCATGGATAATTGTAATGAAATTCTCCTGGTCCAGTTGGGGGCATTGCTGGGCCACCAGCTGAAGTTGGTGGAAGGAGCTCTGTGTCACTGAGGTCACTTGACCCTCAAGTGACAAAGTGGTTCCAGGAGATCTCCCATGCTGGGAGCTTGTTTTTTCGGGGGAGTGCAACCCCATCTAGAACAGGTGGACCACTCCTCATTCAGTCAGAAGAACCACCCACTAAGAGCATTTCAGGCTTGTCTGAATTGAGTTTCAGTTTATTAGCCTTTATCTAGATCATCATCAAAGGCAGGCACCAATCTCGTACATCCACAGCTTCACCTGAGGAAGATGAAGGGAAGAAATAAAGTTTCTTGCCATCATCATTTTGATCACAATGTGCTCCAAAATTCCAGATGAATGCACTCAGTTATTTCATGTAGATATTAAATTGCCCAGCAATGCCCCCAACTGGACTGGGAGAACTTCATTACAATTATCCATGCTCCCTGAGATCGGCAGCAGAAGCCCTCCTCCCGGAACCCTCCGTGAAAGACATTAGGAGGCAAAGTACCCAGAGGAGGGTCTTCTCTGTGGTGGCTCCCCACCTATGGAATGCGCTCCCCAGAGAGGTCCTCCTTGTGCCGTCGTTATTTGTTCTTCGGTGCCAGGTTAAGACCTTTTTATTTCAGCCATATTTTAATAAATTTTAATGTGTCCTGTATGTTTTTAAGCGCAGCCAGTGTGGGTCGATAATTTATTAATGATTTATTTTATTTTATTGTATTTCATTTATGTAAGCCATCCTGAGGCTTTTGCAACAGGACAGCATATAAATATTTTAAATAAACAAACAAACAAATAAATAGCATGGGGTATGGGATTGACTTTTGTAGAACCCAATACTAGAGAATATATTACAGCCTAAATATGAAGCTGGCTACATGGAGAGAGATCTCCCTACCTTTATGGAACTGGCTAGCCATAGAGGAGCAAAAGCACTGCAATGCAGTATCTCTACTCCTGACTCAGTCACCCCAAAAGGATACAGTGGTTGATGGTATTGAAACAGCCATTAAGTCAAGGAGAATAAAAAGGGTCAAATGGCTTCATCTCCCTCCTGACATAGATCATCATATAAGGCAACCAAGGCTGTTCCCATGTCAAAACCTGATCTGAACCCAACTGCTGTGGATCAAGATAATTTGTCTGGAGCAGGTTGACAACCATCTGCACAAGGACCTTGTCCTCCACATTACAGAGGACAACCCTTTGAGTGTGGAAACTGATGCCAATCCTACTCTTTGATGAACATGCCCTTACGAGATTCACATTTTCAAACATTTGCTTATCACATCCACACTTCAGATTTTTTAGGTGTTTTCACCTTCTTAAAAGTCTTGCATTGTCCACCTTAAAATACACAGTGTGTGAAGAAGTGCCTAGAAGACGCTGCTCAAGACATTTCCATTTCTTGCCTGTCTAGACCTGTTGCAATGTGCCACATTTCAAGATGCTGAATTCTTGAAGTCCCAGACTGAATTATAAGGAACTTTTCACATGGGACACAGAATTATTCATATCTGTTGGACTGAACAACAGAAGAAGGTTTCGTAGAACTTTGCTCAAGCATTTCAAGGCTCTGTGCCTAAATAAACAGTACTGCAGAATATACCCTTTTGTTATAGCCACTTGCCATAACAGCAATTGCTGCACCCCAGTAGTATGTTAGTTAAAAATACTACATCATTTATTTTAATATTCTGTGAAGGAAATCAGAGCTGCAGCCAAGGAGGTTTCTGCCCTACTTCCTATGAAGAGTGGAGAAAACAACAGAGATAGAATTTCAGGATCCAAACAGCTGCTTTACTGGTGCCTCTTAGAGAGGTAAAATTAATACTCTGCTCTGTTTACATGTAAGCAGAAGTGCCTTCTGGAAGCAGCTCAGATATGTCTGATAACATTTCGTAAGCTCTATAGAAATGGCATGCTCAGAACACTTCCAATACTTTCCAGAAGTAAATACAACTTCCCCTGGCTAGTCTCTACCCCCTCTTTATCTTGCAGTAGTTTGAATTCAGAAAAGGAGAGGCTTTCTTGATACCATTTGGCTTTGCAAGAAGTCCCCTGTATGTTAACATTGTCCACACATACTTATTAATGAAGCTGCCATTCTATACTAACAGCCATATATATAGATGCTTTTTTTAGATGCTCTTTTTTCCATAATCTTCTGTAATGTAACTGAATCACACCAGAAGTTAAGCCCAAAGTAGTAGCAAAGAATCCATTCACATGTAACTCCCTCTGCTATTTGTTGGCCAAGTGGGGGTCAGAGTAGAGATGTAAATTACTGGAAATTTTGATTCCATGAGAGGGGAAATGCTGTCGTCATCCCTGCCACATGCACACCCCTTCAGATATTTAGGGAAATTCAGATTTCAGAAAGAATGGGGAAAAAGCCAATACTTATTTTAATACACTTTGCAGATGTAAAATTACTTTAGGAACATAGCCATGTTATATATAACTTTACTTCCTCAAAATTATCATTAAAATTAAACTCATTAAAGTCTTTTAGTCAATAAAAATAAGTTTTGTCTGAATACTTTTAGATTTAATACACAAAATATGATAATGCTATGAGCAAACCATTTTTGGTTCTTCATTTATGTCTGATTAGAGAGAACTTCAGCAAGTAGCCTCTGAAACATCCAAGAAGCAGGGGGGAAATGGACGAAGAAGGCTGGTGTTTTTAGCCATTCATTACATTTATTTATTTATTTATGAATGATATTTGTATGCCATCCTTTGCAAGAGCCTCAGGGCGGCTTACACAAATAAAATTCCGAAGCAGAAAACTTCAGCTTCTGTTCTGGTTTGTGAGGAACTGGCTGGAGTGGATATTGGTCCAAAAGAAAAGCTGTTAAGAATTTAGTGTGCTCCTGAAGGCCCTTACCTATGAGGCCTGGCAACCAAGCATACCTAAGAACATTTATGGGACTTGTTATTTGAAAAGTAACATTTTATTCTCTTTTGTAAATAATTCTCCTTAATAAACCTATTAATTGTTTGCTTTTGAAATGAAGTGGGTAAACTTCAACTGGAAGAGGTTTTACAGATGAGGCACCATTTTGTTTTGGATAGGCCTGATCGAGAACTTCATTTAAATCTGTAGCATTGTTCAAGGGCTGGGGTCTTTAAAGAAAAGAAACAAAAGTAGACCAATTCACATAATACTGCTGCATATTGTGCCAGTGATGGCATTTCTCATACCTGTAGGTTCTTGAGCTACATCCACTGACTGCTATACCACCTAAGCAAAACAAGCCCAGAAACACCAGACCTGCTAGAACAAAACCCAAACTGTCAAGAATGTACATTTTCATAACATATGGGGTCTCATGTTGGAAAATTGAGCATCACGTGGTGCATCCCTCGTGCACTATCAGTAAAACCATTAGATCAATAATAGTAGCTCAATAATACTAATAAGGCATTGAAGAAAAAAATTCTGGTGGGTATCTTAGAGATGCCTTCCTGCTATGGTTTCAAACTTTTTCTGAATTGTTACATCTTAAATCTTACATAAAAGTGTTCTTATTGCATTTAGAAATCCTTTTAGGGAAGTAAAGGATGATAGTAATATATGGACAGTATGTCTTAAAGATTTCATCATCCTGTGAGAAACTGTATCATCAAACATGTTTCCTGGTTTTTCCCCTACTGTTCCCTGGTCCCCAGTGCCTTCATATCTCTTTAAGTCTCAGACAGCAATGCACAGCAGAAAATTTCTCAGTGTTTTCTTTTACTGCAGGAGAAAATCCATTTTGCAAGTTCATTAGTAAAACCGAATACATGTCAATTGCAATCACAGCATTAGGCAATCTCAGCAGTTTCAAAGTTGCACTTAATTTTTAATTATTATTTTTTGCATCCTAGGCAAGTATGTGAGAATATACATATATGTCATTGAAATACATATATATCTCAGAGTGAAACAACTAATATGTAGCAAATTTGGATACACCCCAGCAACCTTAAGGGAAGATGTAGTGTTGAAATAGATGTGTGATTGTCAACTTATCATGTACATTTCTTTGAGTTGGTAAATTAATGTCAAGAGTTTTCTGTACTTTTGTGGGGATTTTCCTTAAATTTAAACAATGTAAGGGAAGTACATACTATTGGTTTGTATCCAACAGTGCCAATCCTCAAACTCAAACAACACTAGAAGAACACCACCAAAACTTTCCATTTTGCAAACAGTTGCCCATTATACTTACACAAACTTATTTGTAGTTGGATTCACCTCTTGTATATAGTTCAAAACTTAGCACAGCATCATATGGCTAATAGAATTACACAGTTGGATACTTCTCAAAGTCTTCAAATTTTAACTAGTATTCCAATAAAAAATCTACTTAATGTAATATCTAATACACATTACATGTGCTTTAATTTTCCCCTCAAATATTTCAAGTCAAATATTTGTGATGTATTGGGACCAAAGCATAACATGGGATAATTTTTTTAGTTTTGTTTACTCAATACAAGTAAAATACACATGCCAAGTTAGATCTTTCTAGAACATAAAAACCACAGACATTCCCATGCAAAATGACTGTGTCAGTTTACATTTTGCATTGGGAAAATTTCCAATTCACAATGTCCTGGGAATCCGATATGACTAGTAAGAGGCAAGCATCATGAGCGAGGACAGGCCAGTGATCTGGTTCTGGAGCAGGCAGACAAAAATAGAGTGGCATATTCCAGTAATGATATTTTTAATGTTATTTATATTGTTCAGACCCAAAGAAAAAGGGCTAGAGTAGCAGTTATACAGAGGCACTCACACTCCAGTTGGTGTTCAAGTCCTGACTGGGCTAATGAGCTACAGTTCCCTCTCTGATGGTTATCAAGGTGCAGGGAGTTAGGCACCTAGACTATTGGTGTTGAGTTCTCCAATACATTACATTCTCATCTCCTTTCTCATAAGTTGGCAGTGCTGGACTAGGACTGATATAGAGCAGTGGGAAAAGAATTTGCAATGTTTTAAACATTATATCATTATATACCATATTATATTACAGTGGGCTTTTGCATTCAGGGTTGCATATGTGGATAACTGTACCTGTCATCGCATCAGTGACAGCTTGCGTTATCTTACTCCCTTACTGAAGCTCTATTATGAAATCACTGTATTTGTTTTGCTGCCTAACTTATATTGTGTTTGCAGCTCCAATGCTGCTGTTGTGTGTTTATGTCAGATTTATCTGACTTTCTTTTTTCCTAATTAGGCATCTGTATTTCCAGCCTTGCCCAGCATCTGCATTTTTAGTGCATTGATTCTCAAAAGACAGATAATTGAATGAAACAAGAACTAATAAACAGTGATTTGCAGGGTCTGGTCAGCCCTTTCTAATCAGCAGTGCACTTAATATACTTGTACAAGAGAGAAAAAGTATTAGAAATTTTTCCAAGATAAATCAGCACACAAGCTAATTGCATTGGCTTGCACTAGAGTCGTTTACACTAGCATGATGTAATTTACATTCGCCATTGTATTCCATTGAATACTGCCATTTGTTAGGTAAATAAATTGTATCAAGACACATGCATACAATTAAATTTTAGGTTACTGCTTTTCTCTTTGATTTGCAAGTGTACCCGCAAAAAACATTTTTGTTGTTTAATGTTCCTGAATTGCTGCCTCAGGCAAAGCTTGAAAGTTTTTTACCACTTTGATTTTAGATGTTTCACTATAACACAAAAAGGCACCCCTCTGTAAGCATTTCAGTTTATGAGTTTTCAGAACATGTATTTCACTCAAGCTCTCTGCAAGTCTAGTCTTCTTGCCAAATGAGGCTCTAGTCAGCTAGAGGTAAAGCACTGCTAGGCTGTGTGGGCACCAGCTAATGGGAATTATGTGGATAAGGTATGTCTCCTTGTGCTTCTGTGTGCATGCAGTTCCAAGGTCAAGTCAATCTCCATGTTTTTGAGGACTGGTGTGGTGGCTCCATCGAACAACTGAGGAGGAACCTCCATTTTCCACTGTATCCTCATGTGAGTATCCTGTAATAGCCCATGTTATTCTCTTGTGCCAGATGAAGAGAGAACCTGCTCTTCCTGATCCTATACAGCCTAGTAATGGGGTAAGGAAATGATGCTTATGAGCCCCTGAAAGACTATAATTGGGAACCAGTGTGGTGGGAGGTTAGATTAGGGTTAGAGTTCTGGACAGGGGACCTGGGAGATAAGGTTCTAGTCTCCACATGGCCAAGAAGCCCACTGAGCGACTTTGGACCAGTCGCTCACTCTCAGTCTAAACCTCACAAGCTGCTGTTATAAGGGAAAAAATGGAGTAGATGAGGACTATGTAAGCTGCCTTGGATTCCTCAGTAGAGGAAATGAGGTAGGATAGAAATACAATATAATAATAATAATAATAATAATAATAATAATAATAATAATAATATAATTTTCATCTATGTCTATGCTGCTTCTGTTTGGGACAAGAGGAATTACACAAGGACATTTTGCACTGGAATAATCTTTGATATCCACTCATGACCACACTCCCTTAGTTATTCACCTGCTTCATGGAAATTTGCAAAGGACAAATGGATTTTCTGCATCTTTTGACTTCTCAGAGACTGATGTTACAGCAACTTACTTCCTACAGTGCAGTAGATTTAGGACCTTACCACACAGTATTTTGAATGGGTGGTGTATCTACAGTTCATGTATAATTCAAATGGATACTTATTTCAGATGTACACCACATCTGTTGAAGTCCCTGTATAATTACTAGGAAGTTGTATGTATTACATATGAATTCATGAATGTGTATTTTTAAAAGGTGTTTGCAGATGCCCACAGGCACTGAGTTGGGCATCCCATAGAAAGCTGCCTCATATCCAGTCAAATCACTGTTTCATCTTACCCAGTATTGTCAATATTGACTGGCAGTAACTTTCAGGGTTTCAGCAGGATTCTTTCTTCATCCCACCTGAAGATTCTGGGGATTGAACCCAAGACCAGCATGCAAAGCAGGTGCATGTTGAACTGTGGACTTTCTGTTAGGTCTGGGATGCAGGTGGCAAGTTCTGTGGTTGGAACACCATGACCAAGGGTGATGGAGGTCTTAGGGGAATGCAGGAAGCAAAGGTGGAGTCAGGATAAACAGGCCAGAGATCCAGCAAGGAATGGCAAGTCCAAAGGTAAAGGCAGAACCAGGAATGAAGTCAGATGCCAACAAGACATCACAGGTCCAGAAGCAAAAGCAGAGTCGGGAACAGACTGGGATCAAGTACCAACAAAGAATGGCACAACCAAAGGTGAAAGAAGTCCAAACCAGGCAAGGATCAGATACTAAGAAGTCATGGCAGGTCCAGAATGAAGGCACAGTCAAGAGACAACAAGGATTGGATACAAGCAAGACTTTTTAAAATATCCCTCTTTTTTCCTCCTGTGAGGAACCAAAGGCAACTTACCTCGACCTCTTCTACTTCGTTTTATTCTCACAACAGCAATAACCCTTCAAGGTAGATTAGGCTGAGAATGACTGGCTCAAATTCACCAAGTGGCCAAGTGGAGACTAGAATCCATATCTCCCATGTTCCCTGTCCAGTACTCTAACAACCACATCATGCTGGCTCCCTAGGCATGGCAGAACCAAAGGCAAAGCTAGATACAGGCAAAGGTCATATACCAACAAGATATGTCAGAATTGAAGGCAATGCAAGGTCCAGAGTTGAAATGAGCCAGATTACAGTAAGGCAAAGGAGGGTCTAGAGCAAGGCAAGATTAGAGAAGACAAGGAGCAGATGCCTGGCAAAGCACTATTAGGCTGAAGGTGAGGGCAGAAGCAGGAACTGACAGGAGACAAGGCACCGTCAAAATCAAAATTAGCCACAGGATCAGGAACACCACAGAAACCTGTGGTACTCGACAAAGCTGACCAGCACAGGGAATCCTTTTGTAGAGCCTTCCAGAGCACCAGCAGTGGTGCATGATTACACTGGCTCCAGTCCTTGCATAAACCTACAGGTGTATCTGTGATCCTGGTCCCACAGCCTCTTGTACAGTGACCCATATTGCAGATCATGACATCCTCCCTTCTTTATCTTCCTCCAGTTCAGTTTAATAAATGAGTTTCCTCTTTCCTTGCCCTTTCAGACAAGGACCACTTTGAAGAAACTGGCAGTATCTCCACAATGGAAAAACTATGGCTTACGCATATTTGGGTATCTGCATCCATTCAGTGATGGTAAGGGGTGACTAAAATGAAGTCCAATAATAAGAAAACTGATGAGAATGGGACAATGTAATCTTGCACACAACACTGTCAGTCTCTCAAAACTAGCTACCTAACCAAGCTAAACACTTTAAAACCATAGTCCTGTACATAGTAACTCCCATTGAACTCAAAGGGCTTACTTCTGGGTAGTCCTGTATAAAGTTGCCTGCTTTTATTGTAAGCTGCCCCGAGGTGTTTCTGTAGGGGACAGGATAGAAAAGCTTTTAATTAATAAATAAATAAATAAATAAATAAATAAAATGTTACACTGATTTCAGTGGGAAGGCTCATCATATACGTGAATCTCCACCACTGAACTCAAGTGTTTAATTTTGGCCAATGGGTGTAATATTTGTGGCAAATCCATTCCTTGATCCAGGCCTTTTGGAATGTCCTCGGTTGAGCTCAATTTAGTCCACCTTAGGAGTTTTACTAGTCTGGCAAGGCAATTTCTGGAAGGAAAAATACTAGTCTGCTTGAGGCTTTATGTAGGAAAGGAATTATAAAATATACATCCTATCATCTTAGTCTGATTCTAGATTTGTATTTCTAAAAGTCCCAGGTCTCTGAACACTTATATAGTGTTCTCTATTTTTTTTACATCTGTTACTTCTTTCTACATTATTGCCCTGGTGTGACTGGGCTTTGTTTTTGTTTACTTTACTTGTTTATACACTCCTCAGCAAATCAAAGTCCAGACTGTTTGAAGGCAAGAAGGAGTCTGCAGGAGGGAGTCTTCCTGAAGCCAAATGTAGACAAAGTTCTTTTATCTAGAATGTTTTGGTAGACAGGCTAGATATAAAGCACAGAAATCAATCCAGTTAGTACATCAAGACAGTATGGGGTTTTTGCGTGTTGGATCTAACATAAAACCAGCAATACATCACAAGCTTAAACTGGCTTGATTGCTGTAGTTTCCTTTCAAGGAATCCTATGGATTATGAAAATATCTAGAGATCTGTAACAAACTTCTCATCAACCTCAAAACTATCATCCATGGCATGTTTTGCAATGGGAAGGATACAGTCATGATCATTAAACCAGTTTAGGCTTGTAGGGTAGATGTGGTATAAAACTAAGCAGTGTTGCAGTACTGCACATTCAGGTTCCTTGTTGTAGATGTGGCAGATGATTTCCTGGATGGAGGAAAGGGAATTGGTAGGGGAAGGAAAACACCTAAATTTCTGCAGAATGTTCTCTTGTGTTCCTATTTCACTGCACTACAGGTTTAAGGTGCTGGAATTCAGCTATCCAGATCTCCCCCATTTCACCAGGAGAGATTAAGGTTTGTCCACTGTTAGAATCTGTGCTGGTCTGAGACATTTTGTTGCCTGAGGCAGAACAGCAACTGTTGCCCCTCATCCGCCCAAGTCAAGTTGCATAGGACCTGAAGACAGGCACTGCCAATCCCATAATTACTGGGAGGATCTTCAACAATAATAATACGATAAAAACAAAGAACAGTTTGCCATCCTTTCAGGTCAACCAAAATCTTTTGCCTTAAACAACTGACTTAGACCCCCCAACAGTAGGGCTGGCCCTGATTACACTAGAAAGCCATGGTGTCTCTTCTTATCAGCACTTCTTAATGTTCTAGTTAATCCCAGGATTCTTTTCCTAGGTGAGTTTCAGTTTGCCATTGCTGCTGATGACAATGCAGAATTCTGGTTGAGTCCTAGCAAGAACATCTCAGACCTGCATCTACTGGCCTCTGTAGGCAAGGTACAGTATGTGCTTTCTTATTTTTTCATTTGATATTATCATATACACGTGACACAAGAAGGGAAATAAACTATTCTTGTCTTACAGTACCTACTGCAAAGTTGTATATCAGAAGCTCTGTCCTGTCACCTTGCTGTTAACTTCATTTTAATTATTTTCAATAAAAATGGCATATGAGTAACTCTGCTCCTTTACCTTTCTGTTCATGTTATTTTAGTTATTTGCCATTAAGAACACTCTCATCTATAATGAAATTCTTCAATAGTATTCCAGAAAACTTTTATGCAGGTGAATCCAACTTTTCAGCAACTATCATGTAGAGACAAAAAGAACTATTACAGTGACCAGTGCAAAGAAATAGCAGAAAGCAACAGAAGAGGAAAAACAAGAGAAGTCTTCCAGAAGGTCTAAGAAATCAAAGGGAAATTCAGATCTTGAGTAGAAATGCTACCTGTCCAGGAGAAAATAAGGAGAAGGTGGAAAGAATATACAGACAAACTAGAGAAGAGATGAAAGGATCATAAACTCCTTTGCAGTAGAATTCTCTGAAGAAGAGCCTGCAATACTATAAAGCAAAGTGAAGCTGGTCTGAAAACACAAAGAATAAAACACATTGAGTGGATAGGACACCAGTATAACTATTTCAAGGTGCAGAAAATGAATCAGTCCAAATCTGAACAAAACTATGTCGTCAGATATGGAAAACAAAGCAATGGCCTATGCACTGGAAATGTTCAATATATATTTCAGTCTCCACGAAAGAAGCTGCAAATGAGTGCAGCAACCATAGGACCATTGCATTAATCTCCCATGCAAGGAGAGTGATATTCAGACTGAGACAACAAAAAATACTACCCTATATGACGTAGTCAAACGTTCAAGCTGGATTCAAAACAGGAAGCGGCACCAGAGATCATATTGTAAGTATATGTCAGCTTCTGGAGTACACTAAAGAATTTCAGAAAAAGATCACTCTATGCTTTATAGATGGCAACAAAGCCTTTAACTGTGTGGATCAAGAGAAGCTATGGATGGTCCTGAAGAAATGGGTGTGCCTCAGCATTTGATTGTCCTAATACATAACCTGTATCACATATAAGAAACTACAATTAGGACTGAACATGGAGAAATAGAATGGCTCCCTATACACCAAAGTTCCAGACAAGAATGTATTTTAGCTCCCTATCTGTTCAATCTGTACACAGAACATATCATAAAGAAAGCTGGGTTAAAACCAAAAAAGGGAGTGAAAATTGGCAGAAGAAATATGACTCACTGAAGATATGCAGATATCACCATACTACTGACAGAGAGCAGCAATGACTTGAAATGACTCCTGATTAAAGTGAAAAAAGAAATTACAAAAGCAGAACTGCAGCCGAATATTAAGAAAACAAAAAATCATGTCTGCAGAATTACAGAACTTTATTGTTAATAATGAAGAAATTGAAATTGTGAGAGATTTCATATGCCTTGGCTCAACAATCAATTGAAAGGGAGACTACAGCCAATAAATTCAAAGAAGACTGAGACTTGAGGCAGCAATGAAGGAACTAGAAAAGGTCATCAAGTGGAAGGACATTTTACTGGAGACCAAGGTCAAATTCATCCAAACTATTCATTCAATGTATGGGTGTGAAAACTGGACAGAGAAGAAAGCCAACAAGAAGAAAATTGATGTTTTAAACATGGTGCTGAAGAGGAGCTTTGCAAATACCCTGGATTGGCAGAAAGGTGAAAAAGAGCAAATCAAGCCAGAACTTTTCCTAGAAGCAAAAATGACATAACTGAGACTGCCATACTTTGGGCACATCATGAGAAGACAAGACTCACTGGAGAGGACAATCATGTTAGGTAAAATCAAAGGTAGAGGACAAAATATGAGATGGATTGAATCCATAAAGGAAGCCACAGCCTTGAGCTCAACAGGATGTTTTGAGGGCTTTTATTCATAGGATTGCCATAGGTTGAAGACAACTTGACACTTGATAACAATAACATCCAGAATACATTGAGGATTAGATGGGTCTACTGCAGGGACCAAAGTTTCAGAGTTCTGTAATGTCTGAACATTTCTCTCTGATCACTTGGGTACCCAAAATGGGAAATATAAAAATCAGGTGAGAAAAACTATGTAGCACATATACCCCTATTGTCTAAAGTCATCAAATACAGCATAGGCCTGCAGAAATGTTTGGGACTTAGGTCACAATGTATTGTGTTGTGAATACAGTCGTATTGTTTTATTAGTAGGTCACCATTATCACTTACTGGGATTTTAATATATTTATTTATTCCTGTGGTACTAAAGTATGGTTCAGATTGAGTCAGATTCTACAAACTGCTGTGGCTTAACTAAGCCTGATGGCTTGTTTAAATTGGCAGTTCCAGGCAGCATTAGCCTAATAACTCACTTGGGCACAGTTTGTGCCATCTGAACGCAGGGCAACACAGCTTCTGGAAGAGGAAACTAACCTTAAATAACAGGTCAGTGGCTATTTGAGGGTTGTTTTCCCCTTAGGCAAGCCATGTTAGCCAGGTTTGTACAACATGACAAGCTGTATCCAGGGGCAGGGGGGTGGTAATCAGGGAAATGGTTCACATTGGAGATTAAAGCAGGCCACCGTGGTTTAATTAAGCTGGGTTACTTACCTGCTTCACAGGCTACAACCCATGGGGTAATCAGTCAGTCATCAATCCCTGAGAAAATTCTGGAGCAGATTATAAAGCAGTCAGTCTGCAAACACCTTGTAAACAATGCAGTGAGTACTAGAAACCCTCGTGGGTTTTTCTCGAGAACAAATCCTGCCAGACTGTTCCAATTTCATTTTTTGAATGGGACAGACAGCCCTCAAATAATCCAAAACCATCCACGGGCTATTTGGGGTTTGTCTAATCCTCAAGCACACCCTGCTACCTGGGTTGTGTGATACAACAAACCATGGCAGGCTAGATGCCCATGGGTGCTGTGCAAATGTGGCGGCATGGTGTGACATCCCTTGTTGGTAAAATAACCTTCATGAGGTGGCTAAATTAGGCTAACAAGGCCACTGTGTTGTAAATGTAGCCAGAGTAAATGTTAATAATCAATATCAAACTGGAAGGAATTCTCATACACATGGTAAAAGTTTTCATATATCTTATTCCTGAGCATCCTGCATCATCCATGGAAAGCATGATTTCTTTAGTTAAACAAAGGGCTAAACAAATTCTTGGCTACTATGCAAAGCTCAGTGCATTGACAGCTTGACAGCACTAATAACAAGAGGAGGACAATATGTAAGATAAAGTTCCTTGCCTTCTTTTGCAGGCTAGTTTCTGCACTGCCTAACCACTCCAAATATCCACTCAGGCTTACTATGAAGCAGACTCTTCTGTCCTTGTTGAAGTTGCTGAGAAAGATCAACTAAGCTTTAGATCTTCCAGCTACATGCTGGGCAGGAATCCCACTGTAACAGCTTGCAGGGCTCTGCCCCTCACCTTCCCACACCACATTTAGGATACTTGCCACCTTTCCCTCTCCTATTCTCAACTTTGGGCTGTAACAGATATTGTTCTATCCCAAGGTTCAGTAATGACTAAAAATAGCAGCACACAATGGCATTAGATTCTTTAAATAGTCACTGAAACTTTGGATTGATAGGAGGGGCCAGATGCATACAACTGCTCAGTAAGCCAGCAAGCATGTTGTGGTGCCGTGTGAAAGAGGCATCATGTAAAGGGAATATTTTCTGTTTTCATAATAGACTGGGAATGAGTGGACAGCACCCGGAGAGTTTGGGAAATTCAGGAGCCAGAAGTCAAAGCCAGTGAAGTGAGTGAATCAACCTTTGTTCCTTCTTCTCTATTGCTCAGCAACCTTGTAGGTGTCAGCCAAGAGAGCTTCTCACCCTGTCTTCCGCACAGTCTGCATGTGTTGTTGCGCTTGTTAATCTTCACATCGTTAAAAATATCTTTTAGAACATTGTGATTTCAAACTGTTTGCAAGGATGAAAACATCCTTCCTCCTGATCAATATATCTTGGACTGTACCATTTAAAATAATTGCAGAGTGCTCCCTGGTGGCAAGTGCTGGTATTTCCTGGAGATACACTGGTCCCCGGGATGCAGGTTTCAAGTATGGTTTCACACAATCAGTGTTGTCCATGCATAGATAAATTACTGTGTGAGAGCTTGATCATTTGAAAGATGGCCATCAACCCTGGGTTTCTCCCCATAATATTTTTTTCAGTATGTACGCGGTTGTAGAATATGAGTGAGTGGCACCTGATTGCCTGACTTAATGTAGATTTCCCAGAAATCATGAAAACTATCAAAAGCACTGACTAGATTCCTTAGCTGGAATGATGCGCTTGAAGAATGCTTGTTTTCACTTTGGCAAAAAAGGTATCCAAAATGCAATGGCTGCTTGAGCATCTATGATCACATTAGCTGGGAAAAAATAATCTGTATTTAAAGCAACCGACATAGGCTTTTCCTCTGCCCTACCCTGTCTTCCTTCTTCTAGGTTGTCAGCTGCAAACAGGTACTACTTTGAGATGTTACACAAACAAGATGACAAAGGAACAGACCATGTAGAAGTGGCAGTAAGTGCGTGTACTAGCAATGATCTATTTATTTGACTTCCTCAGGCAGAGTCTTGGCCTGAAGATCACTCTGTACTTTCCTGTTAGGATAATTTCCTGTTAGGATGTCAGCTGGTGATTCTCTCCAGGAAAAGGCATGTTGATCATAATATATGAATTGTGGCACTAGTATTTTCCCCATCTTTTGAGTATGTTGATGGAGCAACCATTGCATGTACCAAAACACTGACCCGTTTACTGGCAGCAGCTGCCTGCTGTCAGGTGGTGGGGAGGGGGGTTACCCCAGGCAGTAGATACTGGGGCCAGCTGTGGCAGCCTCCTGGCTGTTTCTTCAGAACACCACAGCCTTGTGGGGGGACATTGTGTTATATATGCAATACAACCCATTCTAGGGCCCCTGAACTACACTCGTGGTGGAAGACAGCATGGTGGAGGAGACTAGTCTTGAAATAAGATTCAGTTGCCAATCCAGCTAGCTTTTGTTGATAGAATGGGGAAGGGGCACCCAGGCTGCAAAATCCCCTTTCTCCACAGGCTGCCAAATCTCTTGGGCTGGCCTTGTACAGCGGAAAAGATGAAGGAGTCATATTTATCATATTTCACAAACTGCAGTATAGCTACTTTTTCCTGTGCATAGACTAATCCAGAGCACCGTCTGGTCCAGTTTTATTGGATGAGCTTCTGTTATTTTGGACAAGAAGTTTGGTCAAGTCTAGCCCACCACCTGTGTACCCAACCCTTGTCCCTCATGGCTCATTACAACAGTTAAGGAAGGGATTTTTGCTTACGTCCAGGAGACTGTAAATGTCTCCTTAAGAGAGGGAGTTATGCCAGCCTCTCTAAAAAAGGCTGTAATTAAAGCACTCCTAACATGGTCTGGAAACATCTGTTGATCCAAAACAGGCCAGCAAAACTGTTAATGGAAACTGGGCCATGGGAACATATTATGCCAGTCTTCTTCCAGCTGCACTAGCTGCCATTTGAAGTCCAGGCCTGATTCAGAATGCTGGTACTAATATTCAAAGCCCTAAACAGCTTGGAGCCAGGTGATCTGAAGGAACACTTTGTCCTATATGTCCTGAGGTCATCTTGAGATCAGCAACAGATGCCCTTCTCCGGGAACCCTCTGTGAATGATATTAGGAGGGTGAGTACCCGGAGGAGGACTTTCTCTGCGGTGGCACCCAATCTATGGAATGCGCTCCCCAGAGAGGTCCGCCTGGCGCCGTCGTTATTTGTTTTTCGGCGCCAGGCTAAGACCTTTTTATTTAAAACTTAAGTGTTAATTTATTATGTTGGATTTTTAAAAAATTTTAAGCCGAGATGCACCGGGTTTTAATATTTTTAGTGTATAAATTTTTGTATGATTTTGTTTGTTTTTGTTGTGAGCTGCCCCGAGGCTTTGTTGCGATGGGGGCTGCACAGAAATGTTTTAATAAATAAAGAAAGAAAGAAATCTTTGGGGGGTCCTTCTCCAAGAGCCCTTTCCAAAAGAAGTGAGGTGAGTGGCTACCAAGAGGAGGGCCTTTTCAGTTGCAGTATCCTGGCTGTAGAACAAGCACCTCCCCAGAGAGGTGCTCCCGGTACCTACTTCGTATTCTTTTCAGTACCAGGTTAAGATCTTTTTATTTTCCCAAAATTTTAACAATTTAACTTGTTAACTTTTTTTTACTATTGCATTTCATCCTGTACTACTGCTGTGCTATGCTGATTCAATCGTAATTGCTGTGGTTTTGTTGTTTTATGCTGATTTTTGTTTGTGTAGGTTTGTTTTTGTTTTTTACTTTTGTTAACTACTTGCAGAGACTTGGCTATTTGGCAGTATAAAAATGATAAATAAATAAATAGTATTATATACTCCCAAATGATGTATTTGATGGCTATACCCATTCACTTTTTGGGTTTCATTGCCTTTTGAAGGGGCATTGTCAGCATCACTCACAATGTAATTTATGAACAAGACCTGCTATTGGGAAGGGTTCCTTGAGTTTGAAGATCAGGATGGTATAAATTATATCAGGGAAGCCAAATGCAGCTCACCAGCAGCCTAAACTCAGTAAACCTCTTGGTTTTTCTGTGTTCGTTGGGATCTGATGGGCCATAGTATTAAGCAATGATCTGCACTTGTCATGGTGGGTTACTAGCTTCTCAAGCCTGCCCCCTTTCCTAATTGACAGATGTTTACATTTTGCATGTATTTTTTTTTCCTTTTAGTGGAAGCTAAATGACCCTGAGTCCAAATTTGTAGTTATCGACTCTCCGTTCCTCTCTCTTTATGCTAGTAAGTATCTTCCAATTACAGAGTTAATACCACCAAATGGACTGGTCTTGGCCTGCCTGCCTGCCTGCCTTCCTTCCTTCAGATCCTCAGAAGTGCTCTGCCTCTATCTGCAATAAGGCTATGTTGCTCATAGCAGTGGGTATCAGGATACACTGAGTTTGAGAGAAAGAAACATTCTTCCTCTGGATGTATGCACCAGACCTTTTAAGTCCCTCCTGAGAGGTTCTGATCCATACGCCCTTGTCAAATGAGAAGAGCAGGGTGGCTCACAGAGGAAGTGCCATCTTGGTGGAATAGCTTACTGTGGAATAGCTTGCTTGGTGCCTTCTATCCTTTCAGCAGTGGAAATTTTAAAATGTTTTAAAATTGTGAACTTACGGTTATAATACTGTATTTTACTTCTTGTCCTGTACGCTGCCAATAGAACATGTGTTGCTGGGTGGTCATATAAATATTAGCACTCATATCTGTATTAAAATAAGAAGGCCTGTGAAATGGGGCTTTATTGTAATTTAAGGAAATGTGTAATTCAGTTTAGGTGGCCTGTTCAGCATTTCAAAATAAGGGACTTATCTTGGAGTTGTGACATTCCTTAATATTTTCTGGTAACATGTGGCAGACCTTGCCAGAATTATGCAGATGTACAAAAAAGGAAATAAATTCCAATGTCTTCTTCCTGTTAATTAGATGAAACACTCTTCAAAATGGATGAGGTTGATCATATCCCGCAAACACTGGCAACTCGTAAAAGCCGGATTCCACACAGTGAGATTCTAATGGAACACCCTGCAGATATGCTGAAGCCTGACCCTCGAGACACCATTTACAAATGTAAGCAGCATAGTTTACTGCCAGAATGCATCATGCAATATCTTGTGTATCTTTGGGGGCCTTTCTAATCTCTAAATTGAATGTGCATTTCACCAACAAGTGAAATTCTGGGCAGAGTATCTCACCTTGATGAGGCAAAGTAACTTCCTTTTAAAAAAGCCATTTACCTCCTTTTGCCACCTTCCTTTAAAACCTTCCACTCAACCACCATCTTGTTGGTTGTCATTTAGTTTTGCACAGAGACTGGTGTGTATGTTGCCCAAAGGTGGGCATTGCCCTGAGAATCTAGTGTATTTTCAGTGATGTCACTCTTGTCTTTGCCAAGGTGTATGTGGACAAGCATTCATTTCAAGAGTTACCATGCTGTTGAGTGTATCATTTCTGACTTGACCTTGTTGCTGTTTTTTTAAAAATGTTTTATATGCCCTTGCTCTATCTTCTACATTCTTTGAGGTTTTTTGTTTTGTTTTAATGCAGATACAAAGGACTGGTTAAAATTGCTTTGAGTCCTGGATCCAGTCCATGGGTTGCCAGTAACCCATACCTGTGATAGGATATAGTTTCTTAAAGATCTTTCCAAAAAGAAACAGCTACATCATACTTTGCCAAATTATCCTAACAGATCATTAGTGAGGAAAGAGTAGAAGGGTAAATTTGTCTATGAAGAGATTTTCATATTCACAATTGCAGTAGACAAAATGGTATAATTAGAAATGGCCTCCACAGGGTTTTGGGTGTGTTTGTTTTTTTTTTTTTTTAAATCTGTTCGAGATGCCAACTTGGAACAGATCTTCTTTTGCAACGTCTTTTTTTTATTTCTGTTTTTGTGTCTCTGTCAGTGCCTCTCATAAGTAAGGCACAGATACGGAAGATTCTTCCTGATTGCCCATACAAACCAAGCTACCTGGTCAGTGGATTCCCACTAGGACGCTATCAAGGTCTTCAGTTTGTAAGTTCCATTGTATTTTATGATAAGGGATGGCTTTGTCATTAAGAAAGAGCAGTGATACAATAGTGATACAATTATTGCTGCTACTGTATTGGGCGGGGGACAGTGTTAATTGACCAAGCTGCATGCATGGGGGGGGGGGTTAAGTATCTGGGTGTAAACTTTGGAGGTTGAGGCCCATATTCAAGATTACTTGGAAAGTGATCTTTTTTAGTTCCTGTTTTCTTGAAGACAGAATTCAGATTTGCTGCTCCATATGCAAATAAAATTAAAGAATGGCAGCACCACCACATATAGGTCTGCTCAGAGCAAATCCCTTTGATTTTCAGTGGGGCTTAATTACAGGTAGCAGTATATAGGATTGTAGCATAAGTCTCTGTGGTGGGCCAGATGCTACCTCAGATCTCAGTGTCATATGGGGAGTGCAGAAACACATCTCAGTAACAAAGACGGCTCAGGTTCAGGTTAGCCCACAGCAGCAGCCTTCTTCATGTGCTGCTGGTTTCAGTGATAGATATAAAGGGTTTAAAAGAGTCCTATAATTAAAGATTAAGTCTCTTCCCAAGTGAAGATGGCTTACACTAAACAAAACCAAATGAGGAGATTGATCCCCTAAATTAATAGGGGTGGATGTGCTTCTGCTTTTTGTTGCTGCTGCTGCTGTTTTTGGATACTTGACTGCATAATTAGTAGTATCTTTGCTTTCCTTGGTATGCAAAACAGACTGTATTTCAGAATTCAATCCACGTACACAATTAGTCAGCATTTAGCGTGAAAATAGATCTGAGGAAAGCTTATTGATTTTTGGATAACAACCTTGAGGTATAATCCTGGGGCACCTTTGGATGTCAAAACTAATCCTACAGATCTTTTTAGTGATGGTTTTATCTTGTTCCTTCTAGGTTCATTTGTCCTTTGTATATCCCAATGACTACAGTCGTCTGAGCCACATGGAGACACACAACAAATGCTTTTACCAGGAGAACTCCTATTACCTAGAGAGGTAAAATCATCCTTCTAGATAATGGAACTCTGTTAATTTGTAAGTGGAAAACGTGGCTTAATTTTAGGAGATGGGATTGCTGCTTAAAAGATGTATTTGTCGGGGCCCAGCTTCAGCTCTGCGCTGAGCCTTGTAGGGTATAGTCAGAATCTAACCAAAAGTGGTTTGGAATAGTTTGGGCCTAGTGAACCTGTGGAATGTTCCTCTTTCTCTGTGCCCCCACTCTCTGAAGCAGCTGTGACCCTTGCTGCATAACAGCCCCTCTTCTTTCTAATTCCCTAGTCAGGAGTTTGGGTCACATCCACAGCTGTTACCTCCCCATCCAGCCTGTTGCTGAAGCTGCTTTTATTCCCCCTCCCTCCTGCCTGTATTGTTTCAGAGAGAGAAAACTCAACAACAAGTTTTTCCCCATCCCACCTCACACCCTCCCTCCCAATGGTCCAACCTCCAGTGCAGGTTTTCTACTGAAGTCACCCTCCTCTCCTGTTACGCAGCCCCTACATATGTACCAGCCTGTACTGCTCCCAAGAAGAACCCAATATGTTGGAATTTCAAAGCGGTGTAGCATAGTCTGATGAGAAAGGTACTTCTGCAGTTGTCTTTCTCAATGACTTTACACATGATGATGGTGGGTATAGATCCACTCGGGTATCTGAACAGATATGGCTAGCTTCCTGTGTTGCAGCGAAGTCGAGGAGAAATGCAAGGAGTCAAAGCAAAATGCTGTAACAGGACTGAAGGCCCATGTTTACACTTAGCAGAATCAAACCGTAAAAGTTTTCCTGTATTATGCCACTCTCAGGCTGCAGCTGGTAGGTGACATGCTTGAGTGCTCCCCCTTTTTAAAAAAACCTCTCTGCCCATAAAAGCTTTTCAGGGAGAAGGGGTAAAGCCAAGACATTTGTGAGAATCTTTTCTACATGCAGGTTGCTGTAGCCAAGAGGAAGGTATAAACATGTAGACTTCATCTGCAGTCCAGATGAAAGAAACCCTTATCACTTGATTCTGCTGATTGCATAAAAGCATCTCCAGAAGCTGACATCCAGAAGAGATGTCAGGCAGAGTAGGAGAGGAATATTAAATGCAGGTAAGTTCAGCTGGAACAATTCTCATGCTTAGATTTCTTTTTTAACTCCCATAGATTTGGATTTTCCAAGTATATGGAAATGGACCGACCAAAGTGGAAAAATCTTGATTCTGAAGAAACAACAAAAGTGCCAGGTATGCATATTCTAGCAGCTGTGGAAGGATGAGGCCGCTCTCCTTTTGCTTTATGGCTGTCCAGTAAGAAACAGGAAGCCTGCAATGGATTAAATCTGAGGAGGTGGTTCCTTGTCTGTGACAAAGAATGTAAAGCATAATGAGACATTTGGCAGATTTGAACAAGTTGCTTAATTCATGTGGAAGCCTGTCTTCCCTGTTCATAGATGATGGAGGAAAACCTCATGATGCCTGTATTTTTCACCTGCAGAGAACATAGAGCTAGTGTCAGGTCAATTTAGACTGGGGAAAATGCACAGAAAGAAAGGGTTAAAACATTCTGCCTACACCTTGACCCCAACTACTGCTGCATGCAAACTGACAGCCCCTGCAGCTGCATTTCAGTCTTTAAATAAGGCTTTTAAAAAGCTGAGTGGTTCAATCACAGATTCCCCAGAGAGTATTGAGAAAAGTTTGGGGACTGTGCAGTATGGCTCTCACATACATAGCTAGGGAGAGAGAAGAAGAATGCTAGTGCAGAGATAGAAGGATCTTTCCATTTTGGTTTCTGTTTTTAAAATATTTTTAAACATTTATCCTAATACCATAGCATACTCATTCTGTAACCAATATCTTCTAATATGATAATTATTGTTAGTGATCCATGCATTTTTGTGCTCACCTTTCCCTAATATACACACTTTGTATGCCTTTTTAGTCAGGGAATCGTGTCATAAAATTTTGAAAAATGCTAATATAAAAGGATAACTTCAGTTCAGTAATTGCTTTGCACAGTACATATTGGTCAGACTTGCATTAAAATAAGAACTGAACACATGTCTTCCCCCATTCCTAGGCTGGTAATGGGTATTTTTTTTCCAGAAGCGCTGATAGTGGTGTTATAGTGTATTCATTGCTCATTATGAATATACTCAGGGTTGGTGTCTGCCCCCCCCCCACCCCACTTATTCCCTTAAGAAATAAATTCTGCAGAAAAGAAATGGAAAAGTGGTTTGGAGACACCATGACAAAGTGTAAGATATAATATTTTCAGGTTATGAAGACAATTTGGATGATGCCCAGTATGCAGACCCAGAAACAGAGGACGCCATTCCTCTATTAAATTACACCAGACCAAAGTCTGAAAAAGATTCCTTTGTGGCTGTGGAAAATGCAAATGTTCATGATTATTCTCCGCAAAAGCATCGGACTCTCTTGTCAGTTACCAGAGAAAATACACAAAGCAAAGAAGCTAAACAGCAGAAAATGACTTCAGTTGATCAGAGGAACAATGAAAACCACACAGAAGGAAATTTGCAAATGAGGAGCCCACCTCTGAAAGGTAGACTCAAAGAAAGCTCCAGAAACTCTCATCAATATGGCAGGAATGTACAGGTGCTATCGGCACCACAGAGAAGACTGGCAGATGAGCCCTTGCATGTGAACAAAAGGCCCAAAGTGTCTGGGGAACAAAATCACACCAGATACAGGAATTCAGCTGGAAGGACAAAGGACAAAGAAATTGTTGCTGATCAATTAGATTTTAATGCAAACAGAAACAAGGACCCATCATTATACAACACAAAGTCAAAGAGACAATCCCAGGTACTTGGCAAAGGAGCTAGAAATCCAACCCACCAAGAGCAGCCAGTTCATGAGGACCAGTGGCTTAACCAAGTAGATTCATATATAGCTAGGCATAAGGCAGCAGACACTGCAAATGTCATCTTGGGAAGGGTGGACCTGGATTCCCAGCAGCCTGTCAGAACTGATCCTACTCAGCCAGTAGTACAAGAGGAGGAGGAGGAGGAAGAACAGGTGGCAGTGGTTGAGGAGGACAAAGAGGCAGGTGAAGAGGAAGAGAGCTTTGATTATATGCCTGTATTTGACCAGTTAGTAAACTGGGAGCAAACTTTCAAGACAAATAATGTGGATTTCCAGTTGTTGCGATCGGACTGGATTGACCTGAACTGCAACACTTCTGGGAACCTGCTCTTGAAAGAGAAGGAAGCATTGGAGGTCACTCGAGTATTCCTAAAGAAACTCAACCAGAAGAACAAAGGGTAAGAAAGTATCTTGCAGTCCCTCTCTGTGCTTTACTCAGGGGAGGAACTGTAGCACAGTATACATATGCACATATATAGTAAGATTTATATTTCGGACACTTGGTACCTAGAAGTTCCCTTGATGTGATTGTTGAAATTCCCTCTTCATTGCTTCAAGAACATTTTGGATGCATTTGCTGTTGTGAGCTTCCACTTTCTCTGATCCTTATTTTGGGGTTTTGCCAGTCAGTCACATCAAGACCAACAGAGTAAACCTGCAGCCATGATGTCTAACTTGCAAAACGGTGCACTGTACATCACCAGTACCACTAGCTCAAGGGCAAGCAATCTGTAGCTCACAGGCCACATCTGCCACCATTCAGCTAATTTTGTGACCCCACCCCCACCCCACCCCACCCCACCCCATGCCGCTTGCCCACCACTGAATTGGCTGCTAAACCATGGCTGTATGACAATTGGGGGAAATGACCCAGGGGCTAAGGGGGAAGTTTGGCTTATTTTAAAGCAAAAGTATGTTCTTAGTGTATGTTGTTTAAAAGGATACTATTTGCTGAATGGTGGCAAATTCAGTAGTAATGTGATAGTAAGGGTCAGCTCCCAGGAAGTCAGGAAACTGGCCCCTGAGCATTGCCCATCCCTGCATAAAATGAGGAGAGAACTACAAGCTCTTAAAGCCAGGTGTTGATCTTAAGCTGCTTCAGGCTCGATCTTCCCAGCAAACTGGCCTAGTGCTTAACTAGCCCAGAAGCTGAGGGTGGGGTTGAAGGCTTTGACAAGTATGTAATGGTGACACAGCAGGAAAGGAACAAACATGTTAATGCTTACTCAAAAGTCATAACTTTTGCCCTTGGATTGGGGTGTGGAATCTCTGGAAACCCTGACCTGGGGGCCCATTCCAACCAGCCTGGGGTCCCAGTCAGGCTTTCCAAGTTTCCCAGGTAGCCATACCCCCTTTTACTGTATCTTGTGGAGTATTTTCCTTTTTCTAAAATACTCTTACAGCTTGGTTGCTCACAGTAAAAGCTTTAAGATAAAATATGATGGTATTTTAGCCAGAGAACTTCTCAGAAATAGAATTCATCCCCTGGGCCAGAAGAATTTCTGCACTTCTACCGTGGGAAATCGTCAGGCCTGAAAAGTTGTTGGAAGGCAAGGGATCAGCAGTCATGGGACCTGGCTAACCTGCTGAGTGGTGGGCTCAGCCTTTACCCGTCACACCAGTGTGTTCCTTCCTCTCCTGTTTCCCGACTTTCAGTTGACCTGTCATCCTCCTGGCTGCCTCATGAACAGTGTAGGATTGTTCCTCCCTGGCAGGTGTATTAGCTAGACATTATGGGGAGGCAGAAGAGGCCTCAGCATGTCATGCAGCTTGCTATATCTTTGGGTGAAGAAGTGGTCTGTAGGCATATTTGTGGAAGGACTGGGATGGCACCACTGATGAGGTATGGACTGATCATTTGCACTGGAAAGCATAACGAATCAGGCAAAAGTGCTCTGCGGCCCTTGCAGGGTTTAACATGCATCTGCTCTGGGGACTTTTGCTAGGTAAGACATGCTGGTGCTAGTGCACAATTATACCATTACCAATTGCAGGCGATTCCACCTGCGGCGCATCATGAACATAGAGAAGCGGCAGGACCACATGCGGGGCAGCCGTTATCTTCTGGAGCTGGAGCTCTTGGATCGGGGAAAGAGGCTTGTCCGAATCTCAGAGTACATCTTCGCACGGAACTGGCATGGAGTCCATAGTGAGGAAGAGAAGATTATGAAGGACTTGGCCTGGGGCCACCAGCGTCACCTGATGGCCAGTGCTAATGAGCTAGCCTTGTGCTGGCCATCGGCCTTTTCCTGGAATCACCGTGCTGTTGTTCATTTCATCGTGCCCGGTAAGTGGAGGGGTGGGAAGCTGGTAACTTTATGATCAGCTAAACATTTTGGATACTATCAGAGCAATAAGAGAATGGGAAAATTTGGCAAATGCACTTCTTTGTATTATACCTTCCTTACAGTTGCAAGGCATCTTTTACTTATTTATTTATCATATTTATACCCCGCCATTCATCCGTTGCAGGGTTCCTGATCCCACCCATGTACTAAGCAGACCTAGACCTGCTTAGTTTCAGCAAGGTGGATACATCATGTGCCCTTGAATGTTACGCGCAAAAGGGGTTCCTGAAGGAAATGTGTAGTGATCAGCAGGTGTAGCTTCTTGTAAACAGCTACCCATAACAAGCAAGATCAGAATAATGTTTGCAGATTTTATTAAGAAAAGAGCAGAATAAATTATGCATGATAAATCATGCAAACTCACTTTATTGGGATAATTGGCTCTTGGCTTTTCTTGTAGAATTTGAGTCTTTGGTACCTAATTTTGAAGTCTGTGTGCATAGAAAGCCCTGGGCAAATGTCCCTGCATGGACTATGTGCAGATGGCCGACTAATGATTCAGTGTAGGGTTGGACAACAACCACTGCTTAGTCAAGGTCTAGAGCTAACCATTTCAGTACTTTATTCACTTCTCTTTTGTACCTTGATCTATAGAATATTTGCAAAGAATAATTAACCATATACATATATGTGTTCTGCCATAAACTTACACCATCCAACTGCAGCCCCTGCAGCCCTATTTTGAGTTGGAAGTAAAACCAGAAAGTATATATTGCCTCTTTATCAGAACCAGCTTTCCTCATATTCTCATCTTCCCCTTTGTGCTTCTGTCAATCAGTGAAAAACCAGGCACGCTGGGTGCTGCAGTTTATTTCTGACATGGAGGAGCTGTTTCGAGTTACTAAGGATCCCAACTTCAATGTCATCATCACGGACTACAGCAGTGATGACATGGACGTAGAAAAGGCTCTGAAAAGATCCAAATTGCACAGGTAGAAGTATATTTCTTATATTAAACACAGCTACAAACAGCTACATTGGTCACTAATGCAGTCATGATATTCCTTTCTGGTAAAGCAGTTAGTGATGTGAATAGAGCTGGGTGTTCCTTTTCCATCACCCCTCCCTTCTGAAGTACAAATTTCCTATGCTGGGTTTAAACAGCTGCTATTGCTAGCCAGCCTGAAAAGGTGTTTTTTTTTTGTTTTGTTTAAGTCAGGATGTAGTCACAATTTAAAGATACTGAGTTAAACAGGAATCCTAGTTAGCCTAGCCCTGCTTAATACCACACCCATAAAATAGCCTACTGTTCTTAGAAAAGTGCAGCAGTTTTAACTGCAGTTAGAACTGACTAGGTTCATGTTCAAACTAAGTTCAGACCTGGGATGAGCAATGACTATTGTTAGCTTGATCAGCAGTTAATACTAGTTTTTAAATTTATTTTTATTGCATGTTACCAAAAAAAAAAAAAAAACTCTAGAAAGTGAAAAAGAATAAAATAAATTAAAACGTTGCAACTTTTTTGGCTAAGATTTAGAAAGATCCATAACACTAGTTATGGCTGCATAACTCAGCATGTTGCCTTTATTAAAATTAATTATGCATAAACTTCAAAAAAGCAGTTCAGATAGCCATATATTTATCCTTTGATTATGCCTAAAAAATCCCTATTGAAAAATGGAAAGCTTTATTAAATCCTTCACCTACTGTGTTATTTCACATGGCCATTGATCTTTCCCATGTTGCAGTATTAGTCTTTTAGATGTCAAAGGGGTACAAAAAATCCATTTATATTGACCCTGCATTAAATTTCAAGACATGACTGGATAATTCTAAAGGACATAATAAAGAACTGTACCATCAGATTGTAAAGAACTTTCCATCACAAGATTTATCCAAATAATTACCTCCTCCCAAAAGCAAGGTACCACTGTACATTGCCAAACATGAAGAAGAGAAGTATTAGCAGCATTACAACTCCCAACAGCTGTAAATCAAGGCCTTATCAAAGAGAAGTTATGGTGTGCAATATACTCAGAACATCAATTTTTGCTGAATTAATCATAGCCCAAGATCCATGACCCTGTAGAAGCATGCCATTGATTGGGCCAAATGGGGTGCTCCAGTTCATTACTACATTCTTGGTTGAGACCGTGCGCATCATTTTAATCACCCAAAATAGATACATTTAGACATAAATGGTAGGCAGGAGTGACTCTAACCCTGCTCCTGGTCATCTTCAGGCAATACTACCAATAACACAGGTGTCTTTGAAGCTGTAGAAGCAGCAGGATTAAACTTAGATCCTAACAAATGTTTCAGTTGCCTGTTTTGCCATTCATGCAGCTTTAGCTGGACATTTTTTATTAAGTATGCAAAGCCAAAAATGGCAAAAATTTATCAGGATGGACAAGCTGACCTAAAGTAAAAATCAGCCTGTCTGGCAAAGTCTTCAAAATTAATATTTTCTTGCCAGTCTTTAAATCCGGATTTCCCCATAAAGTTAATCTTGCATATGAAAATAAGTTGAATTGCAGCTAACATGAAAATTCATGCTAAAGCTCTCTAGTTGCTACAGCTGATGGAAGCACAGTATCTATTTTAAGGATGCTCATTGTGGAGAGGACCCCATAAAATATGAAACAAAGCATTAAGCTTGTGGAAATATTTCCAGGTATAAATAAAGAAATACTACATAAAACTTGACATTTTATATTCATTTTAAGTGTATTTCTCCTATCCCATAGAATTAAATTTATGGATCTCTTTCAGTCAAGGATTACAGCCCTTGGCCACAAATTTTGTGGACAAATGGGAGGGCTGCTGCTTCTCCTCCTGATAGCCAATGATAGCTAGTGGCAGGAAGGAGAGGCTTTCTCCTGGAGCAAGGCATGCTGGAGTGGGTTCACCCTGTCTTCCTCTCCTAATTAGCAGCTTTGTTTTGTTAGAAAACTATAACCTAGTTCTTGTCTGACTTCTCTTCAGGTATCAGTACTTGCGTCTATCAGGGAATTTTGAGCGCTCTGCGGGCTTGCAAGCTGGGATAGACCTTGTGAAGGTGAGCAGCAGTGGACTGGGGCATCCCAGCTGCAGAAAGTTGTTATGTATGATGAAAAAAGCTCCACATTTTTGGCTGCAATGCTCTGGTTCCTGGGATGTTGTCCCAGGGCTATAGTATCCATCAGACCTCCCCTTGTGAGGGCAGAGAGAAGTCTGACAGACCCCTCCACCATTCCTTACCTCTCCAACATAGAGCTCCAGTGTTGCATGGTAAGGGGGTAGAAGGCAGGCCAGGGATGGGCCAGTGGTTGTGTGGAGAAAGACTGTGGTGTCACAGCTTCCTTGGCCCCAGACCTGCTCCCAAAGCAGCTGCTGATCTGTGCCAGCTCTCTTCCTGCCATAGATGAATTCTGTCCCTGCTTCTGTTTAATGTGAGAAATAGTTTTATGTAACAACATGGGAGTGAGGAATGAAATTGCCATTCCTCCTCCTATTCTGCCTTGGAGGAGAAAGTTGCAGCAGGACTTTAGATTCAGTAGAGGCACTATACTTGGAGCAATCTCTGGCAAATGGCATAATTGCTCTTACAGCACACTTTTCCTCAAAGAAGACAAATCCTATGAGCAAAGCCTAAACAAGCTGGTTGTTTTTAGTGTGGAAGGTTTGGGTGAGTGGAAATAATATATAGATGGCTTTTAGAAAGAAAGGTGAAATAGTTCTGAGCATAGGACAATGGATGAATGACAGGATATTAGATTTGGGTTAAATGCCCGAGTTAAACTTCCCTAGCTAGATATTAAAGTAGGTGCATAAAGAAAGTTTCATGTAAGCTTTCACAAAAACATTACGTAGGGTATCTGCCAGGTATGTTTTATATATGGGTGTGAGATCCTTTGCATGGGTGGAAATTTCTCTAGCTGCTCCACCCAAAAGTAACTGCAGCAAAGGAGGTGGGAGCTGGCTGACATATGTGGTTAGCAAGCCCTGGCCACAAAGGGAAAAATCTAAAATTGGCCCTAAGATCAAAGGAAGTGAGTGGAAGGTTTTGAGTCTGGTTTTGAAAGACAGATGGAGCCTAGTACCATGTATGAGAAAAAGCAGGAACCGGCATGACTGGCCAGTACGTCTTCTTTAAGGCCAGCCTGGAAAAATGATTAGCTTTTTCAAATAGCTGAGAGAAACCAAACTACAGTCATTATCTTCACAACAGGGTATCCTCTTAAAGCAAGAGGTACCACACTAATTATGCATTCCTGTTGGAATGCTGTGGTTCTGTGTCCATTTGTGTTTTCACGGGTGTTTTTGCAAGCCCTTCCTCACATTGCAAGCATGCCTCTCTCAAATATTATGAACTGTGGAGACAGCAATCTGATAGTTCTGTGTCTCTGCTTACAGGATCTTCACAGCATCGTTTTCCTATGTGATCTGCACATCCATTTCCCAGCGGGGATCATTGACTCCATTCGGAAGCATTGTGTGGAAGGGAAAATGGCTTTTGCACCCATGGTTATGAGGCTGCAGTGTGGTGCATCTCCACAACGGCCTGAAGGTGAGGAATTCTGGGCAGAAGGCTCCTGTAGAAAGCAGATACTTTCTGGAGATAATTCTCCTTTGTTATCAACTTGACATTGAACTGCCCATAGTCTGGCCTCATGGAAATTGTGGAAACAGCGGCTTCATACATCAGAAGGTGCAGGACTGAGGTGACCTGCTTCTCAGGCCTGCATTCCTATCTAGTTCAGCTTCATCTTTAGCAGTAAAAGGCTCACTGTTACAGACCATATGTCCTAACACAGGTAAATCTACAAACTCCAAAGTGCAAATTTTACCATATTTAACATTTGCCAAGGACAACTGGGTTGCATATGTTCCTTTTTGTCCTAAACACCATGGGTGTGGGGCTGGTGGACCATATGTGGCTGCTGAAGAGATACTACTTGGCTCCAGGAAACCCTAACAAATTTCAGCAGAGGCATGGTAAAGCATTTGTCCACAGGAGTGAATGTGGCACAGTGGAAATCACTGGCTTTGGATCGGGAAGACAGAGGATTCCCTGCTAATCCACAAAGCTTACTTGTGACATCAGGCCAGTCACTGTCTCCTAGCAGAATTTGCACAATAGGGGAGTTGAACATATCTCATTGAAAATAAGTCCCACTGATTTCCATAGAATTTACTTTTGAGCACTAGGAGCAGAAATTTTGGGCATACTGACTTCTACAGTGCCATCATAACACTGTAGAAATGTTTTTCTTTGGAGTTTATTTGCAGCCACAGGTTTCCTATGCCAGAAGTTTAATTCACACTAGCCTATACCACTTTAGACTTACAGCTGAAAACTCACATGACTAAATGTCTCTCCATCCAGATAGTGGGAAAAAACCTCTTTGCTTAGAAAAATTAGGATGCCAGAGAAAAGGACTCCAGCTTGACATGCTAGTGGTCTATGCACAGGGCCTCTTTTCCTTCTTTCTCTTTTAATGAAAGAACTTTCTGACTGAAGTACTACTACTTGGTGGTACCTAACTGAGAAGCAGACTGTTGTAAAACAACGTCGGGTGAGACCTTGTGGAGCTGTATTCATTCATTGTGCAGCATCATATTATATTCCAGTAAAGAGCCGTTGCAATTCATTAGGACCTTTATACAGGTAAATGCTTCCTGCTGCTGGTTTTAGGGATTTTGGCAGGGACGTGAGGGGCGGTGTTTCCTGTTATACATACGTGCAAATACATGCCACAGGTGGGGTGGAGGACTTAATTTTAGTTGTGAAGAATGCAGATGTAGTGGATATTCATTGTGTTTTTCCTTCATAGGCTACTGGGAAGTGAATGGCTTTGGTCTCTTGGGCATATACAAGTCAGATCTCCTTCGCATTGGAGGGATGAACACTGACGAGTTTGGAGAACAATGGGGGGGAGAAGACTGGGAACTCTTGGACAGGTCAGTGAGAATGTGCTTGTCAGTGGGGCCCAGCTCCACATGACACCCAGGTGACTCCTGCAAGCAGAGGACTTGTTCATAGCATCAAGAATGTTCTGCGCCATTTTACAGGCCGACTTGCGACTCCGTTGCAGGCAGCACCTGTGACTCTTGGCCACTGTAGGCATATAGGGAACTGGATTCATCCATCTGAACTCATCCATGCCTGCATATAACTCACAATTACCATGTTGTTTATAATAGGCTTTATATTATTGTTTATATTATGATTATACTTACAGTATTAATATTATTAATACTATATTATTATCTTTATTACCCTTTAAATGTTGCAGCAGTTTCACAGAAGACATTATTTTCTGATTTTATCTCATGACACGGCGGAAACATTTAAGGGCCCTTGACTGGGTTTGTTCTTTACTGTTGCAACAGGAATGAAACAGACATATATATCTTCTTCCTTGCTATTCATTTGTTATGCAATTAAATTAAAAACATTTAAAATAATTTAAATTTATGTCCTGCTATTTCCCAAAGTTAGTTGGCATAGGCACAGACAGGTGTGGGTACATACGTGTGTGCATATGCAGAGGAGCTGACATTTCTGTCAGTGAATAGCTCATAAAGTAGAACTATCTAAAAGAGATACAGGTTTGGGGGTGTGAAACAAACAAAATTTTAAAATAGACCCCCCCCCCCCATCAGATAGCTGCATTACTACAATTACCTTGGTATCCCAGAAAGCTGGTCTTGGTGAATTTTTAAATTTTAGTCTGGAATGTTTCATTTGTGAATGCTGGCACTGCAGCATAGAAAGCAGGAACAGTTCCAGAAGGTAATGCAAAAACATACACTGGATCCAATATCTGTTTTACATTTGAATTATAACCACAAATATAAGAGCAAGTTTAAGTGTCAGTTGTGAGAATGGACTTAAGGCTGCAAGATCCCTGAGCAGGTTATTGTTTCTTAAATGACTCAAGATGGGAGATATTTGGCAGGGGCAGCTTTTCCTTATATGCCAGTAGCATGCAAGGACAAATTGTATCTGTAGAACTTGCTCACCATCCAAGCCCCCTAAAAGCAAAGTTAAGTAATTTTAATTAGTCTCAATTTGAACTCTCTGCTTTCTTCTCGCAGAATCTTTCAGGCTGGCCTAGAGGTGGAACGACTTGCTCTCAGGAACTTCTTTCACCACTTTCACTCCAAACGAGGCATGTGGAACCGACGGCCACTGAAGATATGATGCACATTTGCACTCCTTAGAATTAAGAAGAAAACTATCCTACCTCTAGCATTTTCCATCCAGATCATGGCTTTTGAAAGTGTAAAAAAACATTTCCCAACAGCACATCAGAGGAGCACTCTGAGGAGCAAAAGCATACAGTATGGATTCTTATGTAACCCCATAAGAACACCCTCTAAAGCCTCTTTTTATACTGTCTTCCTATTTCTAACCAATTTTAAATTATTAAAAGCAAAATACAGAAGTAGAGACACCATGCTTCCACCCAAGGGAACTATTCCAGTTCCCTAAGTTGCCAGATTTCGGTGGCACACAGCAGAGTCCTCGGGGCTTCTGAAAATTGAAGAATGGCTTTTCTACCACCAGGAGACAAAAGATTCTGGTGAATGAGTACAAATGAAAAGATGTCAAAGCTGGCATGCTTTGCACAGCAAGTTTACAAGAGGAATATACTTCTCATTATATCATGTATGGATTATTTATAAAGATGCAGCTTCTTCTTTATCGAGTTACTTGAACAGAGGAAAACATATTCTGAAATTCAGTCCTTTGGACCAAAGCCAGTGCATTCTTCAGTGCGTGTACCATGCCTGCATCTCTGAGCACCAGCCCACCCAGGGCATGTTAAGCGATCCTTGGTTAAAGCATGGCATGTTCTGCTCAGGTACAACAAAAGAAACTCGGGTCCTATAGTGAAACTGACGTGCCTTTCCCATGGAACTATCTGCATTTTTATTGAGTAGCAGCGCATTTGTTTGAATTATGGTTAAATGGGGTTAAAACTATGCTGGGACCTGAGTCAGTTGTTATCACAGAATTTTGCTCATTCCGTCATATGACAGCTGGTGCAGAGAACACAGGAAGTGTAAATATGGACACAAGACCACCTCCTCTTCCTTAAATCCTATCTGTAAGTAGCATAGCACTTGGGAGATTCATTTACAGTGCATTTCAAGGACTTTCTATTCAGAAATAAGCCCAGCAGAGTTCAATAGTATGCATATTTTTTGTTTGTTATTGTTTGGTTTGCATTTTTATTTTAATGTGTTGAAAGCTACATAGGGAAGCTCATCTTGAAGAGCAGGGTGTTCTTTGGGGGTAAATTAAATTATGATTATATTTTGGAATTGATTATGCACAAACAACAGGTGTCCATTAATCTTGGTAAGAAAAGGAATTGTCTGTGTTTCCATTGTTGAAGAACCAGGGAGAAGATGATAGACGAAGCAAGGTTTGGACATGACACACCACCAGAAAAAAAAGCAAAAACTTCCTTTTAGCAGATTCCACACCAAGCAAGGCTAACTCACTACCTGATAATAGCACAAATTGGATGAATTCCTGGGGGAGTTACCTATCAATGCGACCAGTCCTGATGCCTCCAGTATCAGAAGCAGCACACTTATGTACACCAGATGCTGATCACCAGCATCTGGCTGTTGCATTCATGTCCTGCTTGTGGCATCCCATGGGAAACTGTTTGGCCACTGTGTGAACAGATTGCTGAACTACAGGAACACTTGGACTGATCCAGCACACAGCTCTTCTTTAGTTCTCGAATCACAAACCTTCCACTTGTAGAATGTTCTAACACAGTGATCTCTGCTCAGATTCAGTGGAAAAGACTGCTGCTCTGACTGGGGTAAGCTCACATTTGAAATAAGCTCACATTTCTGGGAGCTCAGGAACAATTTAAGTGCAAAGAGGTGAGGGAGGAACCTTATCAATAGTTATTTATAAAGAACAAGACCTTGTTGACAGTTCATCTGAATTATTTATCATTCTCTCCGGATTGTTTCAGACAAGAATGTGTGTTACAGGTTGATGAAACCTTGACTATCAAAGGGATAGATGTTCATGCCTACAGAGCACCTTGATTTTGGTGATAGACTTGCCTTAAGTTAAACAGTTAATCAGCTGAAGGTGCAGTCCTAAGATTTCTTCAGCTGACTATCACACACCCCTGCCCCACCAAATGTTTGCACTACAATCAAGGCAAGAGCCAGAAACTGCCGAAAAAAATGTTGTCTGAATACATGGTTTGTTCAATGGTCATCAGTATCAACATGACCTTCTTTGAAGTACCTCACTTCTTTTTACAACCAAATGTTTTCTGGTATATTGAAATTTGGTATGTCATCCCTAAAATGTGTGCCTTAAAGACAACCAACCATTTATTACAACAGGAAGTAGAAACATCTCCGTCAGTTTATAAATACAGGTTTCTTATTGAAAATGTGTGTGATGTCTTTTTTCCTGCCTATATCATTCTCCAATGACATTAGATCGTGCCTTAATCAAATAAAAGGAATAAATTTATAGAAATATCTTACTTCCAATTTATTAATGATGTGATTACTGTGCAGAAGAGGGGAATATTTGGGAGGGGAATATTTGTCCTCTGTCAATTAATGTTAGTGATGTGTGATTTTTGTAGAGGGATGTCTTTTCCCATCATATGCACTCAAGGCCCACAATGGTGTACACCTGAGATGGGTTTCAGAAGGTTCACTCGTTAGTTCACTTCTTTCTATACTGCTGGATCCTGTTGACTTGAATGCACAAATAAAATTAATTTTGTCAAGAGCAGGATCCATCATCAGCGCAATGACCGTAGCAAGATTTCCTTTCCCCATGAATAAACCTGCATTTTTGAGTATGTGCCATAAGTATAAGATTTTATCATCTGGAAGCACTTCTTTTCTTACCACTATGTCTTGGTCATTAGAACTAGAAGCCTTCCTTCTTGAAGCATCATAGATGTGCTGAATGACTGAAGTTTTGGCTGAAATCACTCCCCTGTCAAGCTGATCAGAGGCCAGTTTGGTTGTACCTGGAAGTATCCATAGCTTAGTGTTTTATATCCAGTGTGGCTAAAAGAGCATCTCGTGCACATCTTGTGGCCTAAATACAAAGGCGACTTCCCCTTGCAGCAATCCTTTGTTCACTGGGATCAGTGATGCATACATGAGATCTCCACTTCCAGATCAAGATGCTCATATACTTTTCTATAATTCTTGAAATCTAAACAGAAACCTGGTTATTAGATTCCCATTTCCCATCCCTTGCACTGGGTAATAAAACTTAAATACACCAACCATTCCACAGCTTTCGATAAAATACTTTTTAATAAATAAAAAGAAAGCAAATACCACCTGGAATATGAAAAAGATGTCCCTGTTCTAAGTGGGATAATATTGCAAATTCCTTTAAAATAATATAAAAGCAGACAAAAGCATGAGAAGTGACCAGTGCAGTGCACTAATTACAAATCAGGTTAATTTGAACAGCCTTAAAATATTTTGCAAGGTTATGAACAAGATCGTTATTAAAGCTAGCAGAGGCTTACAATATAATTCTTCACCAGAGGTATGCTGGCTACTTGGATCTGCATATCAGCAAAGAAGATACAAAGCCAAATTAAGATTCGTGCCCTACTGAGGTACCTGAGAAGCAGCTCAATTCTCATCCAGGACTGCAAAAGTGCTTCTCCTGCTGAGCAGAGCATGGGAGCCCTGGCTAGTAGGGGAGCTCCATTTCTGCTTGCAGCCTCTATGCCAATGCTGATGGCTAGATCAGGTGAGAGGTGTCCAGCGTTTACTGTTATGGTGCCCAGTGCTGGTAGCTGGAGCAGACTTGTCTGTGAACCAAAATGCGATAAACTTCATTCTCATCCTTGAAAATGTTTACTTTTAAAGCAACAAGTTATTTTTCTTCACAGGAAAGAAACCCTCTATTGTTCAGGCCAAACGGCCTGCACCCACTGGCCACTTTGCTGTATCCCTGCACTGAAAATAATTGCAGAACTACAGCCTCAGCTGGAGAAAGGAATCTGACCAGTTCACTGTTCTTGCTGTTTGCTCCCAGGCAGAGGCACAATGGGCAGCCTCTTCTCTGGCGGTACACATGGCAGTGGGCTGGATTTGGGGTTTTTTCCTTCCTGACACACTAGCGGTTTCCTCACCAATAATGACATACTGGCGTTCCCTCAGGAATAGCATGAAAATCTCTGACCCAACGCTGGCCACTGACCGATTGTGGCAGGTTTTGTGCTTGTTTACAATTATTTTCAAGGTTTTATATTAATGCTTTTGCCCCTGTTACTGTTATGCCCCTTGTTAACTATTAATTAACTATATATATTCCTCCTCTTGCAAAATTGAATGTTACAGGGTGATGACCAAAAACAAAACAAAACCCCAAGCGTCAGACACAGGTGTGGGCTGGGGAGGTTGAGGGTAGCTCTTATATGGAACAAAGAGATACTACTTCTGACAGGAAAGCAGTTCTTCAGCTCTTCAAAGCTGCACGCACATTGAAGGCATGGCCCACACGAAGCGGCTCCCACATGCTTGCAACAGGCTTGACCCAATGAGTTGCCTGTCATGTGTGGAACATCGGTTCTGAGGTCAGCAGAAGTACCCAGTGGTATTGCGGCCACCTGCCCCATGTTCCAGCCTGCAAGGAAGAGCAAAAGCGCTCAGGGCATCTGTGCATCCTGCCTTTCCCACCAGCATTTAACAAAGATGCACAGCAGGATTTCAAGAAGAGACATTCCAAATGTGGCCCTTGAAAGACAGTTGTCAGCACTGGTGTCAAGAGTGGGCATCTGCCAAGGGTCTGCACCCCAGAGGTGATGTGTCACCAAAAAGGCGGGGACACCAATATGCATGAAATTGTGCATGCAGTAATAAAAGCATTTTTGGTATTTTAATAGAAACATATTTCAGCATAATGTATAAGATTGTGACCAGGTAACCTGCTCCCTATACACCCTTGTAAAAAAGACAGTGACTGCTCTGGAGCGTCCCTCCTAGAGGTATCATTACTCAAACTCCCTCAGGAAGGCTGCCTTTTCAGAAGAATCTTTGGAAATAAGCCCACATCGCTGAGCTATTTTCAACCTGAGATCAGTTTTATTGCTTTAAATTCTAAGTACGTATTAAATTCTATTACATTTCTTCTGTACTTATTTCATTTTTGTGAGCCTCCCTGAGTGTCCGTGCAGGACCCAAATAATTGCAGATAACTATTTGCTGGAAAGGCAAATGAATTAAGACACAATTCCTCCTGAGCAAACTGGAGCCCAAATGTGGCCATCAAGAAACAGGAGGGAGGTTCCATGTGCCCAGAAGCTCACACTTGCCCTACCCGTTCGGTGCTCAGTACAGTCTCCGGCCATAACTTGGATAGAGCCCCGTCTTTTGCACACCAAAGGCTGTGATGAAGATGTTGACAATGACCGTGATGAAGACCAGGATGGTAGCGATGTTGTTGAGCAGGTTCAGATGCTGTTGTTTCTCCATGTCATTCAGGTTCAGCCGTGCTATGAGCATGGAATACAAGCCATACAAAATTTAGAGTGCAGAAGCCATGTTTTCCCCCATCCCCTCCAAAATTCAGACTCCTTTCATCACTCCATTTCTGCTCATCTCACCCTCCTCTAACATTCTGCAGACAGTACTTTAAACAATAAACAGCAAAAAACAGTGACTCTCATTCTTGCCTATTGAATATTTACAGCATTGTTCTCCTGCCCTCCTTGCAGAAAGGTCAGGGCAGAAAAGCCAGCTCTTTCCCTATATGCACAATTTCCTGACAACAACACCAAGACTTAAATCAGGCTGAGAAACAGTACCAAGACCAAAACCAACTCATAAACTGGGGCGGAGAAAGAATTTGAACTTGCACTAGTTAAAGAGGGAACAGAAAGATGCATCATATTGCCTTCCTCGAATACAGTTTGTATAGAAAGTTTTAAAATGGATGTGTGCATCACTTTAAAAAATTGTGCAAAAGCAATCCCTCCCTCTTGCAAACACATACCGCATTGCTCTGTCATTTAAGATCATTTTCTCTTAAAACCGATTAATACAGTGTGCTGCAGTTATTAAGCACACGGAAGTGAGACAGGTGATCCAGATTGTAGCCCCCACTCAGCCATTGAGCTAACTTGGTGACTATGGGCTAGTCACAGACTCTCAACCCAACCTACCTCATAGGATTGTTGTGAGGATCATACTGAGAACAGGAGGCAGAGAATGATGTAAGTTGCTTTGAGTTCTTTAAAAAAAAAGGTGGGATATACATCTAATAAATAATTCTCACCAGCTGGATTTAGATCTACCTTTATCACAGCCTACCTCCCAGAAATTTTGAGAAGAGGAAAAAGCAGTGGAAGAACCATGTATTGAGCAGTTAATAGAATCTAATTGCAATTAAAAAGTTGTTTACGCATAGCTACCCTGGAAACAAAGCAACTAATGCCCTATGTGAGGAGGAGGAAGAACTTTACATTTATATACCACTTGCTTTCCTCTTGTGAGGAACCCAAGGTGGCTTACATAGTCTACCTCCACTCCCTTTTATCCTCAGAACAACAACCATGCAAGGTAGGTTAGGCTGAGCGTGACTGGCCTAAATCACCCAGGGAGCTTCACAGCCATATGGAGCTACCGCTTCAGCCTTTGAAGGGCCACATCATGCCAGGCGGTCTTAAATTCTGTCATGCCACTCTATCAAGCTTTGCATGAAAAGCCTCAGGCATGACTTTCCGAAGTTCCAAACCTACTGAATTTAATTCTCACTCCCTTTGATGGAACTTACGCTACCATAAGCCTTTTATCCTATTTTAGGATGTGGTGCACCTCATCTGGCTGAAAAACAACATAAGAATGAACTTGAACCAAAGTATGTAAATGCTTGCAGCTGCAGGCCCTTGTTATGAGTTTGCTATCAGATTGCAGCAAGAGAGTCTGGAGGCTGAATAAAACATCGGGCCAGGATGACTGGTTCGTGTTACTTTGTGGTCACTGGTCAAGCCATGCCAACCATATCTTTCTTTAGAAACTAACTTACAGTTCAGAACATCCAGAAAAATAACTCTTTGTAGACGCAGGGAAGGTTTGATGAAATGGGAGATTTTCTGGAATGTGAGGAGAATGTGAGGCCACTGGGAAAGGTGACCCATCCGCCATCTGTGTGGGGAGCAGGAGAGTGTCTTAGGGTGTATCTGAAAGGAACTGCAGCCTGAGAGAAAAGCACAGCATGAGCTGAAGACTAAAAACCTCCAAGGACACCAGGTGGGTCCCTGTCAGGATCTGAACCAAGATAGCAACTACCTGCGAGGGCTGCTTGTCTCCTACAGTGCTCAACGTGCATATTTATAAATAAATATTACAAAAATGCCTTAAGTCTTCAACACTCTCCTCTAAATCCAAAGAGCACTGCTTCTCACTGCTTGAGGAAGCAGAAAGTTCTTTAAATTTGTGCCATCTGAAGACACAGAGTCCTTTTCCTTCCTTTGGCATGTGTGTGAATGGGCCCAAACTAGATTGGGACCACCAGTCATAAACAGGGAAGGTCAGCTCTTTCCACCCAGCTGCTTCCTCCCCTAGAAAGAAATAGTTTGCTGGTGCCAACTGAGAAAAGGAAGGAAAAAATGTAAAGGGGAAGTGAATTTAGGGAGGAAAGTGTTTGGGAGGACCTCCACTCCCATTCCTGAGTAGATGCCACAGCCCCACATATTTATAATATAATTGAAACAAGCACATTAGTATCTGTTGCAAGCTGTGCATTTGATGTAATATGTCACTTAGTCCCAAGTGTACCCCTAAAACATAAAGCATGAAATGTGAAAATGTGTGCATCAGCCATGCAGGGTGGTGAAGCAAACAGACTGGCAAAAAAGAGGGGAAAACCCCTGCTGCATCACTGGCTTGAAACACCCTCATTGTGGCTTTATCTTTGGAGTGAGCTAAATTTAAGAAGTCAAAAATGGTGTCTTAAAAAGGCAGACTACATGTTGCAGAGGCACAAAACAGATTTTCATCTTTCATTTTTGGGCTTTGATTCCCTCTGAAAAGCCGGAGACCAGTTATTCTGACAAGTGACTGGGAGCCAAAAGGACCTACACATGCTGTGGAACGTTCACAGTCAGGCCCTATATATAGAAAAGAGATACCATTGATGAGGCTGGGACTGCAGCTGTGTGTAGCCCGAGGCCATGACCCCTCCATTCCTTTCCATGCCAAACACACAAGACAGGCCTGTGTGGTTATCATGTAAGGGGGTGATGCGGAGGAGGACAGACAGTGCCAGAGACTGTAGCCTTCTGTACAAAACTGTAGGGGGCATCAGACAGGAATGTGCAAGGCTGGGATGAAAGAGGAAGTCTGACCACCCGAGGAGTTTAGGAAGGAGATGGGAACTAGAAATAAGAATAGATGAAAAGCCACGCTGGCTCAGACCAAAGGTCCATCTAGACAAACACTCCAACCACATGGTGGCAAACCAGCTGCCCAGAGGATCCCGCAAGAAAGGTGAGTGCAAGACCTCTCCACTTGATCCTCACAACATCTCTGTGAGCAGAGGCAGAGTGAGTCAAAGTTATCCAGTGAGCTTTCTGGCTGAGTGAGGATTAGAATCTGGGTCCTCTGAGTTCTGACCACTACTCCACACTAGCTCTGTAACATTTACACTGAATCAGTTCTGCACTATAGATTTTAAACAAAGGGCGGGGATGGGTGAGCAAGAAGACACAGCTCTGCATCACTGTTTCTGGTAGGACTATGAAAGTCCCAGGGAGGACCTGTGGAAAGAAGCCAGAGACTTACCCATCACTATAAGAAGGATCCCGATGACTGTCTGGAAGAAGAGGGAAATGCTAATGAGTGTCACCAGAGCAGCATAATATTGGAACGATGGCCCCTGTTCTAGCACTGCCTTCAGCTGTGCAGCATTGGCCATGAACAGCGCTACATCCAGCATGCTCTCAGCCACGCTCTTCTTTGTAGCATAATGATTTATGTTGATTCTGTTTTCCAGCCCAGAGCCAGGATTAGAGGCCTAGAGGAAGGAGGAGGAAGAGAAGGTTCAGCCAAGAGGGCCATGACTAACAGCTGAACAAGGATACACATCATTTTCCCATCCCTAAATCCATAGTGGGGCAGTACATCGATAAGCTCCATCAAAATGTCCCCAAAAGTCATTAATCTCATCAATCCTACAGAACTCTTCCTCAGGCTCAATTATCTTTCTCCAGCCTAGCACCCTTCAGATGTCCAAGACAGCAACTCCCATCATCCCCAGCATGCCAGGTGCATCTGGCGCATGTGGGTAGCAGCGGGTTGCAGAATGCTGGGGTGGGTGTTACACAGAGCTGGAGATGGAAAGGAAGTTGGTCAATGCTGAAGCAGTGGCATCAGCAGTTAATCACCATCTTAAAATGGACCATTGGAGGAAGCAACAGGCCACTAGATTAAGCAGAACCTGTAAATCCCGATCAGAGGAAGAGGCCATTTCTAATAGCAGCTGGCACTTTTATTTTTGAAGAGATAGAGGCCATTGAACCTTTGGCCTTTTGTGTCTCCCTAAGCTCCATGATCTTTTGTACTGGGCGAGCCCTAATGATCTGACTGGTCGACAGGGTCGCATAAATTAACTACCGGTTTAAGTCAGAGCAGCCCAAAAGGGAGGCCTTGTTGAGTCCTGGCCCAGCAAAGCCTGGTTCGGGTTTCGGAGCCCCCCAGCTTCACTGCTACCCCGTTTGCAGCTTCCTGTTCATCAGCCCTCTCTGAAAAAGAACAAGAAAAAGAGTAACCGCCCAGACAACTCAGCTTCTCTCTCTGAACCGCTGCGCAGACTGGAAAGCAACAAAGAAGGTAAGTAAAGGCCGTGGCGGCGGCGAGAAGGTGACGTCCCCGCGTACTGGGAGAGGCCGCTGAGGCCATTTTCCTCAAGCTGTGGCCCCCGTGTGGGCAACATGCAGCCCCATTTTCTGCTGTGCCCCCAGTCCCTCCAAAGCACTGCCAGCACACCACCAAATTGCCGCCAAATTTAGGCAGCAGCGAAAAAGGCTACATTTTCCCCTTAAAGCAGGACTCGTGGGAGCGAGCATTGTTTTAATACCATTCCCCAGGACCACAGCGTTATATTAAAACGAGGCATGCACTCAGCCAGGATGCTTTGTTTTAATTTAAAGGGGAAACAGCTTTTTTCCCCCTCTCGCTGCTACTTTCACACTGAAATTCAGAGGCAGAGATTGTGGTGGCCTGAGGTGTTCACAGCCCCCACCCCACTGGGCTCTAGGGGATAGAAATTAGCACCGGACCCCAAAGAATTGTCCACCTTTGCTGTAATTTCTGCTATGCACGCTCTCTTTCCCTCTCTCTCCCCCCTCCCTCCCTCCAGCCTTCAGCCTTCAGCCTTCCCTTCCCTGAATCTGAGGAAAAATTCAGTGAAATTCCCTAACTGCTTGGTGATTGCTTTCTAAAGTTGGAGCTGCTCAAGTTGTGTTCTGTTCTGCTCAGCATGACCACGTGGGGGCGCCCTAGACAGCCTCTAGCTGAGAGGCTTCCATTCACTGGCAGCAAAAAGATCCCGGGCCCTCGGGGACGCGGTAAACGTAAGATTGCTGGAGATGATGTAGATTGAAAACATTTTGTGGGTACCCATTTTGTGGGTACTTTTCCAGTACTTGTGGATACTGGAAAACTTTATCCAGGGTACTTCAGGGGGTTCCATGCACTCCTGGCCATCTAGTCACTTCTGTATGACTGTTATGATATTGCAAAAGTCACCATAATGCCTAATACTCTTATTATTTTGTGTACAATTTGTATTCAATTTTGGTTTCCAGGACTGATACAACAGACAACAGCACTAGTTTATAGCTCTTCAAATCTCCTTATTAGCAGTAGTTTCTATTTTAAGCATGCTCGCTGTGGCTCATTTCTGTCTCAAAAAACTCCTTTATGCCCTATACATTTTAAAAATCAAAGATGGCAGGGCTGACTAAAATTTGTTCAGGTATGCCATACTGCTTCCACAAAAGAGATGGCCCAACTCGATGCATCAAAAATTTCTAGCTTTAGTCTGGACTGAGCCTCTGAATTATAAAATAATTTCAGAGCAAGAGAAAATGTGCCATCAGCTCCTGGAGGGACTATCGAGAGTCTGTGAGAAGGGCTGGCACAACCCAACCTCACCTTCACTGAGGCTACTGAAGATATTTTCCCCTGAAGGAACAGCAGAAACCAGGCCAAGGAGCTCCTGTTCCCTTTGGCCTGAAAAAACACATCTGAAACAGATTAAACATACTATATTAAAACTGTAATCCGCCTTGGGGTGCTTTTGGGAGAAGGTGATTTGTAAATATATTTAAGTAAATAACTGGGAGTGAATGCAGGGATGGAAATCCAACTTTTCTTAGGACAATGTAAAAGAATTGTGTAAACTATAGCTCTGATTTCCAGAAGCCTTCTCACTTTCTCCTCACAGGCAAAAACATGCAAGTAGGATGGGGCTGGGGAAGGACTGAAAACATAAGCCATTCACCAAATATGGCTGCCGCTTTCAAGGGCAAAATTCATTGCAGATGGCAAGTGGGCAGAGAGGGAGGGATATGGGAAGGAACAACAAAGAGCAGAAGAAGAGCTGGGGTCCTGTAAGGACCAGATGCGTTGCTGCCAGGGCTCTCGGCTTTTAGAGCACTTCATCAGATTCTCAAGCTTTGCTTGCCACCTATTTGCTCATCATTGTGAATAGTCAATATCTCTTTAAAATGTTTTCCTTACTTTTCTGTGATATACAGTTATGACATCGTAATACAAAACAATATACGTTGCTCATAGTCCAAACAATGAGCTGCATATTTGTGGTTCTGTAAATTTTCCTACTTGATGAATAGTAACTGCGGACTACTGTTTTTTTCAGGTGATTATCCCCTTCTCCTTCAAAAAAACAAAAACAAAACAAAACTGATTTGCAGGAGGATGCTTTTCTTTGAGGAATTTGTTCTTGTCTAACAATTTTTTAGAAATGGTCCAAATGTTAATCTTGCTGAACTATTCCTTAATTTCCCCCCTTTCTTTCAAGGCATCCAGTGCTCACGGCCTTTTCTGCACATAAGCATCTGAATTTGGAGGTTTATGTGCATTGAATGAATGGAGTGAGGCGTGGCAGCGACTTTTACCAGAGCTGTACTTCATGCCCTGCATTTCATCTAGATAGCTGTTTTCAGCCATCTGGAATTTCAGGAATAGGTGGAGAAGTTGGAAGAACTCGGATGCACAGACACCCAAACCTTGAGCATCTTGCTTCAAAAGGTATATGTGAGGTAGGGAGGCACCTACCTGCTTTTGTGAGCAAAGATCACTCTTAGCTTTGCTTTGACTTGACAGCTTGTCTTTTCACACCTGTCAGATCAAAGCATTGTCCTTAGAAAAGGCTGTTTGGAGTCTCTCTAGGTCAATGTCCAGGATTGTACCTGCTGCACCTTGACAGCAGGTGCCCCCTCCCCACTCCCATTCCCACTTTCGCCCAGGCAAGGCTTTCCATTTTGGACCAGTGGACCCACTTTGCACTTGTACTAGTCTAGCCCATGAGTTCTCAGGGTGGCTTGTCTGAAAAAAACAAAACAAAAACTAAGCCACCCTGCGGGAAGCTGTTTGGGTATGGACTACCAGCCTAGCAACCAGACAAGGCTTGCATTGTGTGTCTGCCAGCCCTCACTCAAGGCAGTTTGTGGGTACTTCAGATGATCACATCATCCTCCAGGGTCTTGCCTGTGTTTTCCAAGCATTGTCATGGAGTAGGGCAGAGGATAGCAAGGGAAAATCCACTGTTTGTTTGTTTGTTTATAGTTTTTGTATGCCATCCCATCGCGTAACGCCTCGGGACGGCTTACATAAACAACTATAATAAAAAAATACAGATTATATGAATTAAAAACCCGATTCATTCTGGCTGCAAATTAAAACCTATGGTTAATGTTAAACATTATTAAAATATTGTTTAAATAAAAAGGTCTTAGCCTGGTGCCGAAAAACAAATAACGATGATGCCAAGCGGACCTCTCTGGGGAGCGCATTCCTGTTTAGGGGAACGGTGGAATGAAATATTAGCTAATGGAGTAGCACAATTCAGATATAGCACAGCACCACTGTGAGGTTGTATAGCAGAACATACGGAAGAGCAGAGAAGGGTGGGGGAAAGGTTTGTGGCTATCCAGTGTTATTCCCACAAAGAATCCTAATGTGAAACTGCAGTAAAATGGCAGGTAAAAAGCCACTTCTAAAAAGTAAAAAATTATGCAAGTTCTAGAATAAGGTCCGGGCCAACTTTGAGTTTTGTTTTGTTTTGTTTCTGTACCTGATTGGCTGCAGCAAAGTTCACAAGGTCTAGACAATCAATACAGGGAAAATATTGCAATGATGCTACAATTTAGCATCTTTTCCCCAGTTAGGGTTTGCAGCCTGGGCCATACAGGATCTCTGCCCTCATGAGGATATAGCCGTTTTTTCTGCTGCCATCCAACCAATTCAATGCTCTGGTTCTGAGAGAGAATATATTTATCTGGAGAGGCTAACACTGTATGCAAAGGATGCCAAGGGTTCTAGTCCAGAAAAGCTCATGCCACAATAAATCTATTTGTTTTTAATCTGCAACAAGCTGCTTTGCTGATTCGTTTGCCATAGAGTAACACAGCAACTCCCTTCTGGAAGTTGTTGCCATATTTCCTGGGTTACCCCAAAGCATACGATTGCAATTACCCTCTTTTCAGACTTTAGGGAGTGAGGAAAGCAGTGAGAGGATAACAGAAGAGCAAGAGACAGCAAGACAGAGATCATGAGAATGATAAATACTCCTCTTTGTGTGTGTCTACTGGCAGAGAAGAGCTGTGAAGGCACTTTATTAAAAGGCCATTAATTCCAAGCAAGCTGCTGCGGAATGCCAAATAAAATACAGGGAGAGACCCGGGCAGTTTCACACACAGGAAACAAAGGGGCAACATGTACATTGGTTGCAGGCTGTACGACCAGACGAAGATGTCTGGA